TTCGAGGAAAATACCTAATATACAAAAATATCTCGTGTCACGATGTTTGTGGTCGCACTCCCCCGAAACAACCGATCGATTGACTGATTTTAATGATTTTTTTTTGTATATTTGGTAGGTATGAAAATAGGTCTTGAAGCATTTTTTACCCTCCTCTCTTTTCACCCCTCATTTGTTAATCGTGGTTTTAGTATTATTGTCTGAACAATATTATATAAATACATAGTGACGAACGCGAGCGAAACGAGTGTGCGAATTATAAATTGAACGCGGCCGTAGCCGCGGGTTCTGCTAGTATGTAAATAGAATTTATCTATGTATAGAAAAAAAAACTCTTTCCAACATTTGTAGTTAATAATACTAAAGCTCGTCAATAGCTAATAATAAAAAAAATCGGTTGACAAACAGAGGAGAAAAAGGTTTCGGAGCGTTTCGAAAACTATTTATATTAACTTAAAACTAAATTAAGAAAAAAAAACTAAATGAGACACATGTAGCCGATTTGAGGCTCCTTTAATGTCTAAATACATACTCGGCCGGCGGATGCCGGGTGGGCCGACTAGACGCTGAGTTCGCGTCTCTCTTATTCTATGTAATTCTTAATCTAAAACGAGGTGTAACCATAACTATGTACTATCATAGCTGTGTGTTTGTGTGTACTATGTTCATTCGTCAACTTGTTCACATCCTTTTAGTTCGCGCGGTTTTTTTTTATTTTTATATTTACATAGGTATGTTAGGCAGTGTTTTGCCTGTTGTGATTCGATTGTAACGAGATTTTCCTTCTTTGAAAAATGGTCATAATATATTTAATTCGGGCTTATTAATGTTATTCATTTTATTTCGATACAATAAATACTTTTGAGCCGAGCTTAAAATTGATGTATCGTTTCGTTAAAAGATCAATTTGCAAAAATTATTCAAAAAAAAACCTTTCACCCTTAATTTTTCATGAATCTGGAATCAATAGGATAGCCATAATATATTAATTGCAATAGTAACTTGAATGAAAAAAGTTGAGTGTCATTTAAATCCATAGAGTTTATCGATGTTCCCGTACCTTATTATGTAAATAACGTTAATCATGTTTAATTGCCGTTAATAAGGTTATTAAGCTTATTAACTTTCTAAGCGCTATCGTAGATCATGACGTCATCCTTCATCTTTAGTTGGGTTGAGAAAGACAGTTTTTTTTGCTAAAATATATATATTTTTAATTTTGTCTTCATGTCTTGAAGTATAGGGAAAGAATCTACGTACACACTCTAATTCTTCCGTTTTCACGGATATACTCTAGAAATGCGGAGTTGGCGGCGCTCAGCGCTACATATTTGATAAACCAGATCGGGCCACATACTATCTATATCAACTACCAGCCAGCACTGACTCTTTTCAATTTGAAATCAGTAGAACAAAATTTTCGATATGATATTTACTTCTCCATTACTATTATTCTTACTAAAATTAAAAATTTTACTCCTTTCATAAATATCCTTCTTCACTGGTTACCTCTGACAATATATGTACGTATAACAGAGTTAATGTTTCAGATCTAAAGTCCAGCGTTTAGATTTTAATCTATACTAATATTATAAAGAGGTAAAGTTTGTGAGTTTGTGAGATTGTGAGTTTGTGACGTTGTAGGGGGTAATCTCTGGATCTACTGAACCGATTTAGATGAAATTTGGTACCTAAGAAGATAGTTTGAGACCCTGTGAAGGACATAGGATACATGTTACCGCGGAAATCATCCCTTAAGGGGGTTAAAATGGGGATGAAAGTTTGTATCGAGAATCAAGATAGGGACGAACCCGAGCGAAGCGAGGGTGAGCCGCTAGTATTATTTATATATATTTGCTGACATGAACTTCAATTTTTAGTTTTTTCGATTTACCGTAAACCTAAACCATATTACGAACTTTTTCTGAAAAAAAAACAAATCGATATTAATCGTTTTCAAGTGATGATACATTGTATGTACATTGTACATACTTTTAGATGCGTATGCTATCATACAAACATTTCTCAATGGTACAGTAATATTACTTTATTTAAGTTTTAACTTATTAAAAAATATTTAAAATGCTTAGAATTAAAATCAACAAATATTTCAAGGTATGTACTCTGGTGCCATTTTTGAATTTTTCAAATCATTTTTTGTAAATTGAAAGTAGGCAACGTCTGTAACAAATATATAATATCTCGCGTCATTTCTTCTCCCTACCATCTGTATGCAGATGACTTACAACTCTATCGCCATTTTGAGTTACCTGAGTTGCCCGATGCTGTTGAAGCTTTAAATAATGATCTTGTCGCTATACAAACTTGGGCCGAATCTTACGGACTTTTAGTTAACCCTAATAAGTCTCAAGCCATAATTATTGGCAGCAATAGGCTAAGATGTAAGATAGATTGGGAGTCAGTCCCTGGGATTATATACTCTGGGGTCCAAATACCTTACTGCGATAAAGTAAGGAACTTGGGTCTTATCTTAGATTGCCACATGACTTGGACACCTCATATCAATGAGGTTAGTAGGCGTATGTACTTCACTTTCCATTTTCTGAAGCGTCTCCAATACTTTCTTCCCTTCAAAACCAAAATTATGCTTGCGCAGTCTCTTTTACTACCCATACTTGACTACGCCGATGTATGCTATTTGGATGTGACGGAGGAGCTACTGAATAAACTAGAGCGTCTTCAAAATCTCGCCATACGCTTTATCTATGGTCTACGCAAGTATGATCATGTTTCCGACTTTCAAGCTCGTCTTAAATGGCTCCCTATCCGCCTTCGCCGTGATATGCACCTCCTTTCGTTTCTGTTCAACATCCTTCATAACCTCAATTTTCCCTCTTACCTTCGTTCCTGGTTTTACTTTCTTCCCACTCCATCGCGTTCCAGGCGGCCCTGCATTACATCGATGCTTGACAAGAAGCAACACCAAGTTTTTCCAAAACTCATTCTCGGTACACACTGCAGTGCTATGTACAGACTTCCCAAAGTCCTACAAGAGAGCCCTTCTAATGATGCGTTTAAAATCAATGTGAAAAATTATTTTCTAACTCATAATTGAAAAATGTGTACATTACTGTTTTGTAATAATTTAATTATGTTTATGTATATATGTATGTTTATGTATATATTGTATTTATTTTGTTTTACTTATGATTATTCTTATATATTTTCTTATCGTTTCTCTGCACTTTCTCTTTCTGTCCCGCTACTTGACACTATTTCCCACATGCATGGGTTGACTGGAAGAGATCTCTTATAGAGATAAGTCCACCTTTGTCCACGTCATTTTCTATGTATTTCTTTTATTACTTGTTTAGTGCAATATAGAATATATATAACGCCTTTGAGATGTCTAAAACCTTAGTCTCTCGTGACCATGGTTGCTGTAAAGCATTCAAAACGGTGGGAATCAAAAATCAAAATAAATCCGCGAAATAATCCGAAAAGGTAGTTTTATTTAAAAATATAAAGATATTAATTATTTTTAAAAGTACTAAAAGGACAAACTAATGACGCATATCAATAAGCTATCTATCTGTGGTTTTCTTACTAGCGATAAGAATTTGGCATCATTTGTATGCGCGTATTTCAATATTTCTAGTAAAAATTACTTAAGATAGATAAGTTATTGAGAGCCGCCATAAATGATACATTTACGTTATTTTAAATTGAATATGATACTCTTAATTGAGCTCATAAACGTCATACAAACGGTATTGTCGTCGGGCACGCTATGTGCAGGATAAAATTGATTAGTACGATACAGAAAGTGGCACACACTGATGTTACACTAAGTTCAATATGAAAATGCTTTAATACATAAATGTGATATTATGTATTAAAGCATTTTCATGTTGTGTTCTACCATATAACTGTTTACCATACCATATAACTGGTTACCATATAACTGATAATCAACATAGTACTAAAAAGTAGTACCCCTCTATATTAATTCTCATCCTCGCTCCGCTCGGGTTTGTCCCCAGTTACGTTTTAACGTTTAGTATGTATCGATTTCTCAGAGATAAGATATTTTTGCGCAATAAAAAGTATTCCATATGTTGACATATGATGAAAATCTGTCCAGTGGTTTCCTCGTAACGCGTTCCCAGACAGACAGACAGATAAAAATTCTAAAAACTATAGATTCGCCCTCTGTATCAATAATAATGACTATTTCAATAAGTTTTTTCAAAAAATATTTAATGTTCTGATTGGGCTCATTAGAATTTTATTATATGTGTAGACTAGCGCTTCTCGCGGCATTGCCCGCGTCGCTTAATATACTTATAGAATAACTCCGCTTCCGTAGGACATAATATGTAGTATTTTGGATAGCCTAAAACCTTCCTCAATAAATAGACTTTGAGCCTCTATGATCTATTTGTGTTGCAAGTACATATAATTATCCTACACCATATAATTACTCCTACGCCCTAAGGTCGCCTGGAAGAGATTGCTTATAGCGATAACGCCGCCTCTTGTGCATCATCTCTTTTGTATATTTTTTTGTGGTGTACAATAAAGTATTATATATTTATCTAACTATTTGATAAAAAAATATGAATAAGAAAAAAGTTGATAATTTTTTAACTGTGACAGTGTTGTTGCTACATTACAATCGATAGACATTATTATAGGTATAATATTTTACCTTTGTAGGGTATTCAGAAAGAACAGAAGTACAAGCGCTACGACATTTGTTTGTTTATTACATATACGAATTTGTTTGTTTATTACATTCTCATCAATCTCTTCACACACACTCGGGGGTTTTTAGATATTTGATCTATCACTTTAAAGTATAACATACATTTCTTCTTCCAATCTCTTTGGTGTCTTATCTATTCTATGTGACATTTTTGAAGTAATCTGTGCTCAACTGGCATGCTTTGAAGCCATTATCAAGAGATTGAACTGAATTAAATGTTTCTTCTTTCAAGGTTCTGTTTTTTGTCTAATGCAGTAATTAATATTTGTATATGACGGTTTCCAGGTTGGCGGCAGCGCAGGAGGCGGCGGGCGCGCAGGCTCGCGCGGCGCCAGCTGATACCATGGGCGGCGCGCACCAGCCCGCTACTCCGGGGCCCAGCTCGCTCTTTATATTCTCCGACGAAAATCCTATCCGGAGGTAAATATTTGAAAGTTTAACTATTTAATTCTATGTACAGCACAAATAATTTCTTTTTAATTGGTTATTCAATTTTTTTGTTAATGGATTTATAGTGAAATTAAATGTATTAGAGAAAATATCATTATATAATATGAACATAATTTAAGCTCTTGTACAGTATTTTATATAGATAGCATTTGTAAGTTTATACATTAAAACAATGAAAGTACATAATAGGTTTGGAAAAAGAAACCTAGTTAAAAAGTCTCGTAAACTACATTTTCCGAAATAAAATACTTGTAAATATTTTCTAACATTATTTTACTGGACTCATAAAATCTAAGTATAAATAAATAAATATGTTGGGACATAAACACACAGCACTCTCTAGTTCCATGGTAAACTACGAGGCTTCTGTTATGGATACCAGATAGTTGATACACTACACATATAGTATAACTTCAAATACTATAATATATATTAAGTATAAATATAAACACCCATGACTGGAGTACAAACATTCGTCATCACACAAATGAATGCCCCCAGTGGAACTCGAACCCGCGATCGCTGTCACAGCAAGTAGGGTCACTACAAACTGAACCAAACGTGTCGTCGTAGAAATCATAATATATAATACAAAATATACCTTTATAAAATAAGTACACTGGTCTTAAACGGTGTAATAAATGTATCAATTTATTACTCTTTAGTAATAATTAGAGTATCAAGCAATATCTGTTACCATGGTTGATGTTTAATGAGAAAACTCCCCCAGTCTCATTTGCAAGGAAGCAGTAACTAATGTCTAATACATATTTAATGGGCACCTTGTTCTTCCCATGCATTTTGTAAACAAAGGTTCTGTGGCTCTTTGTGGGTATATGCGCGGAGTAAAACGTTTCTTGCCTAAATATTCATAACATAGACCGTTCGGTTCAGGTTGAGCCATTTACTTTTAGGTTATCGTAACATTTGTACAACCTTTCTTCGTGGAAATTAAAAAGAAAGGCGAAGTATTATGTAGTAAAGAGAAAACAAAATTAATTAGATACATTTTATAATATATAAGAATATATAGTGGTAAGGCGCTCGCTTGGGAAACCGAGTGAAGCTGGTTCAAATCCCGGGTCTCGCACCTCTGATATTTTCGTGTGCGAATCTTGTCTAACATGATTTCCACTTGCCTTACGGTGCATCATGAGGAAACCTGCATGTCTAAGAGAACCTAGCAAATTTTCGAAAGACATGTGAAGTCCACCAACCCGCACTTGGCCAGCGTGGTGTACTATGGTATGCCCCTCGTATTGAAGGGAGGCCCGCGCCCAGCAGTGGGACGTTAAAAAGGCTGAATACAAGAAGATATTTATACTAGCGACTCAGCCTCACCACTTAGGGGTATGAAAAATAGTTTACGTCCTATTCTCAAACCAACTACACTGAAATACACACATTTCATAAGAATCGATCAAGCCGTTTCGAAAGAGTGTTGTTACAAACACTGTAACACGAGAATTTTATATATTAGATTTTCTTTACATGCAAGATATAAAATGCATCGAATGAATAAAAATTTAAGTTGTAAGTTTTGATCTTACATTGACCCGAATTAATGCTATGTCGTCGCAGAATTTCAAATCTAATGGATGTTTTAAAATATGTATGTAGGACAGGTCAGGAGAATAATATTAACTGATGAAGCGCAGCCGAGTTTCGCTATATACTACTGGGAAAGCCTTGCTTTTATTAAACCACCCGAATAGCTTTCCAGTACAAAGTATAATACTATCTCTTTTTGAAATAATAGTAAATGTTTCTTTAAAAAATTCTGTCTTTAAAATATTTTATAACTTTATAATTAAAACGCACAGCCTAGGCTCACTGCACGTTACTCATGAACGAGTTATGAATATGTTAGCTGATTATATACGAATGTTGCCTGTCGAATTATGCATTTTACAATTTTTAATTCTGTAAGTATGTAGGCAACATACTTTAACTCTTTTATATAAATTAATTAAAAAAAGTTGCGAAACATTAATTAAATACTATATAAATATATTTAACAAGTAATATGGACGTACTTAAAAAGCTCTTATTGTTATTCTATTTTACTTTTTTTTGTTTAAGGCCACCTTGTTTTTATGTTCATTTTTGGCATAGTTTATATTAAATAAGGTTTCCAGTGTCGCTGACATCAATAAAGCTTTTAAATTCTAAGTTACTTATGCTAATGTTATGGTTATGCCTAAATCAATTTATAAACAAAAATTATAAACAAAGTGCGTAGGCGTTCTTAAAAGAGTATAGCACTTCGTTTTATTGCATCTAAAATTTGATTCAGTTTTTCGCTCAAGAAATCAGATTACGATTCAGCGTGCAAATGTATTGAGCTTTATTACGTCTATTCTATGTCACACAAAATCAATAATAATATTTTGATTGCTTAGGGTAAAATTATTCATTTGTTCTTCAATGAATGACGTATCAAAAAATACTGTATAACTATCATACCACCTTAAAAATCACTCCCAACTATGTATTCCACATTTACATTAATGCTTTTTTTTTCTTAAAAACTTTTTAACAAAAAAATAAAAACAGTCTTCAAAAAAGCACTAAAAAGTAAAAAGTAACTGATTGGTAGTTTTCATTTACTATACATTTTTTTTGAAGATTCCACCATAGATCCACCTTCTGGCCTTACGTGAGATCAGGTCAACGATAACAAAACACTGCACTATCAACAGAAATAGACACACATGCAAAGTTTCAAGTCATATTGACAATTAGAAGTAGTTTAAATTCATCATTAGCTATTTACCGACCCTTAGGGGTGGTATTTTTTTTTTAATTTAAATAGGACCAATCTGAAAGTATACACTTTTAAACAAAACAAAAATTATGTAAATCGGTTAACAAAAGACAAAGTTCTGAGGTAACAAACATAAAAAAAAACTTACAGCTGAATTGAGAACCTCCTTTTTTTGAGGAAGTCGGTTGAAAGTATGAGAGGTATTCTTATACTTATTCATAAAATAATCAATAATTATAGCTGGCGATGGTATAACGTAACATACACAAATAAAATATGCCCTCAAATATATATATATATATATATATATATATATATATATATATATATATATATATATATATATATATATGTATGTGTAATACTAGCGGCTCACCTTCGCCACCACCTTTTCTACCTTTGCTTCGCTCGGGTTCGCCTCTAGAAAAATAAAAATAAACCTATCTCACGGGAACCGTACACTTTCTCGGGATAAAAAGTAGCCTATGTGTTATACCAGACTATAATCTATATCTGTGCTAAATTTCATCCAGATCCGTTCAGCCGTTCTGGCGTGAAAGAGTAATAAATATCCATACTCACAAACTTTCGCATTTATTATATTAATATAGATCTATAAGATTTCATTTACGAAAATGAGTAGAACCTCTTCCTTTATAATTATTATTCGAATGGAAGAAATAGTACGTTTAAATTCTCTAAAACCATAAAAACGGCACGTAGCATGCTTATTATGAAATTCGTAGAAAAGTTTGCGTAATTGTGATAAATGAATTAATCATTGTATGCGTGCATTGTGTCAAACGCCCACGTGATGTAGGCAGCAATTACTCACTATTAACGATAGCGGAAAAATGCGAATGGTGTTGTTGAGAATCAAACGATTTAATAAGCTATAAAACCATAAACGTATTAATTAACGCAATCGTTTGGTATATAGATTATTGTTAACTTAAATGACTTTTATTTACCCCCGACGCAAAAAGAGGGGTGTTATAAGTTTGATGCCGATGTCTGTCTGTCTCTCTGTGTGTGTGTCTGTCTGTGGCATCGTAGCTCTCAAACGAATGGACCGATTTTGATGCGGGTTTTTTTCATTTAAAGGCAGTTTCCTTGCAGTAGTTTTTGCTATGTTTAGTAAATATCGGTCCAGCAGTGTAAGAGTATCAGCTCTTTTCAAAATGATGTAAGGCATTTTGGCGTATGATTACTCGATTAAGTGCTTCACGCATGCCAGTGTAATCGTTAAATGACAATTAATTTGCGTGGGGGTTTTTTACATTTTTAATTTATAATTATTGATAAGTACATTCAAGAACTTAAAACATTATTGTCTATTTCTTCGTCGTATACTTTACCCATATTACTTTACGCATTTTCTATTAACCATACAACTAAACGGCATAGTTAGTACGACATTATCTGCTTTAAGGAAACACTATTATTTCTATATTTAAGTAACACAAAAGTGTTAAGTGGCTAAAAAGCTAGATAAAAAAATATATTAATAAAACCGCTAAGCGTTCTTTCAAAAATAGAATTATGAAACTATTTTAAATAACATTTTGGTTATATATAATAATTGATTTAAAAATAGGTAAAACATTTTTATATTATATAAAAATAGGTAAAACATTTTTGTATATACTAGCGACTCAGCCTCGCTTCGCTCGGGTTCGTCCATAAGAACGTTTTAACGGTTCGTGTATGGACAGTGGTTTTCTCGATGCATTTCCAAGAAGATAGACTGATAGGCAAAAATTCTAAAAACTATAGATTCGGCTTCTGTATCGATAATAATGACTATTTTAATAAAAAAAATTAATAAAATTTTCCGAAAAATATTTAATGTGCAGATTTGACTCAGTTATAATTTTATTATACGTACAGATGATAAATAATAAGCCTTGTTTTGGTGTGTTAGTTATCTTATTAGAGTTCGTAAGCTCGTGTGATCGAAGGCATCGTTAATCGTGTGCAGAAAGCGGTTAATATACTCAGAAAGCTTACCTAATCATTCTCAGCATCCTCTATTAATTAGCCGACAATCTGGAACTCAATGTAATAATTTCTAGAGAATTTCTAAGACGTATGTAACTTTACTGTTTCGTAGTTTATATTCACGTGAATCCTTATTACTAAGTATACTAGATTAAATTCTCTTATTCATTTATTTATCATTTTCAAATGCGTTTTTGTCTTATAGCTATAAAAAAGTATTGTTTACAAAATATAATTCTTTAAAGATTTAAAGTAGTTTCAAAAGCGAAATAAATAGTGAATAAATGAGTAACACACGCAATAATTACAGTACAAATTTATTTGTACGAACTGGTTTCGCATGATTAATGTGCCTAATAGTTTCGTGTGCACTAGGCAAAACCAAATCAAATAAACAAATACTGGTAGTTAAATTTAATGCTACAATGATACAAATGAAATTTGTCCTTTTTTTCAGGTATACAAAATTTATCATCGAGTGGCCGCCCTTCGAGTACGCAGTGCTGCTTACCATCATCGCCAACTGCGTGGTGCTGGCGCTGGAGGAGCATTTGCCCAACGGCGATAAGACCATCTTAGCACAGAATCTGGTAAACAAATATTATTATAAAATTATATATTTAACATTAATAACGTAAAATATAGTTAAGCAAACAATTTGACACTATATATTAGCGAAGATGGGGTGGTAATACTATAAGGTATTCGTCGAAAGAAAAGGACGACTAACTATATATTCATAAATTCTAGGCTTAGATAATAAATTATCTATATTAAAAAACAAGAGTGGTCTCTCAGAAAGGACCAATTTTAATAGCAAAATAGTCTTTAAGAGTCAACCTAACAAATTTCTTTTATTAAACTGGCGTTGAAAAAAATAAAACATATTTCAATAGGTTAATATTAATTAAATTATTATTATAAAACATTCTGAAGGACTTCTGAGGTGAAAAATCCTAATGACTACATATATTTTCAAATACTCCAATAACAAATTTAAAGATTTTTTTAAGAACGGAATATTATAAGGGTTAGGTTACGTAACTATCGTTAGAAGTTAGCTCCATGAAATGTTAGCAAGTGTTCGTAAAATAGAACTTTGAACCGGAAATGGTACAAACAAATATATCAAGTTCAATACAGTACCTAATCGGCACTATAAGTAACACATATGCAGATCGACTTCCGACCAACGTACGAGTAATTTCGGCTACTTATACAATAAATTTAATACGTGACAATTGGTAGTCCAATTGACAAATAACACCTATCAACTGATTAACAAATTGCCCACTCACACTCCCCATACTCTGCTAAACAATAACATTTATATACTCGTAATTCGAGTTAAATAAATCAAATCAAATTGTGTTTACAATTTTAGCCGCCAACTAAAATGGAGTAATTCATTATTTTGAATAACGTTTTTTGTTTATTTTTATTATAAATACGCAAACCAATTTTCAAATAATATATGATTTGCTTAGAGTATTTATCTAGACGCTAAACTAAAAACTATTGATTTATTAAATTTGTGAGGAGCAAATATATTTTATAGATATACAAGAACATGTGTGTGCTTACAGATTGTAGACACTTTAATTGACACCAAATATAAAATAATAATTATTATCGTAGACCTCCATCCACACAGAATAATCTAGTATATACTGTTCTGTCAGTAATGTTATGTACTAGCGACTCACCCTCGCTCCGCTAGAGTTCGTCCATAGTTACGTTTTAAGGTTTAGTATAGATTTCTCAGAGATGAGATATTTTCCCGCAGTAAAAAGTCCTATATGTTGACTCGGATAATCAGCTATCATCATACCAAATTTGATCAAAATCCCTCCAGTGTTTTTCCAGTGATGCGATCACAGACAAACAGACAGACAGACAAATGTTCTAAAAACTATAGATTCGGCCTCTGTATCGATAATATTATCTATTTCAATAAAATTTTCAAAAAAATATTAAATGTACAGATTCGGCTTAGTTACGATTTCATTATATGTGTAGATAATAAAAATCAATTCATTTCATGTATATTAATTTATGAGCTTTTGGATAAAATAATATATATCACAATATAAATGTTTGCAATTTGTTAAATGTTTACAACATTCAACAAAATTAAATGTCCATTGAAAAATAATTTATCTATTTAGTCATTAATACGTGAAGAGAAAACTTTGAACCTTTTTTTAAGCATATTGCATGTATGGAGGAGTATGAGTTTTGGCACAGTTAAAGTTTATATAGAGAATGACACCAGAAAGCCAAAATTTATAGATTTTCTTTTACGTTTTAAATAGATATAAATAGTAGACAGCGTTAGCCAGTTCTTTCATAAGAGCCTTCTCCTGACAATAACAAACACATCAAAAAAAATAGTTAATTCGGTCCAGCCGTTCACGCGTGATGGCGTAACCAAGGGAAATAGGGAATAAGGGAAAATTCATTTTTATATATATATATATATATATATATATATATATATATATATATTATATATATATATATAAAGATATAAAGTTTGTTTGTCTGTACGTGCAAATCTCTGAATCTATAGGCCCGTTTTAAAATTCTTTTGGATTTTATAGGCTATTTAATATTTATTATTTATATAATTTTGAAAAAAGAATCTCAATATCGATCAAACTTAATAAATGATGGTTGATTTTCAACCACGAGGCGATCACCAGTTATTTTAAATATGTCATACCAACTTTTAAAACACAATTGATACATTTATTGCTAACATACTTTCTTTTATTTGTTTCAGGAAAAGACCGAGGCGTACTTTTTAGGGATATTTTGTGTAGAAGCCTCGTTAAAAATCTTAGCCTTAGGTTTTGTTTTACACAGGGGTTCTTATCTTAGAAACATTTGGAACATAATGGATTTTTTCGTTGTAGTAACTGGGTAAGTAAATTTTAATATTACTTTTTATGTAAATTAGCAAGAAATACCTTGAAACTTATAAATAATCCATCATTGCATTCGAATATAGTATTGATAAAATAAACCGATTGGAATGCATGTATTTCACAAAATCAAAAATTCTTCTATGCTTGGAATCAGGAGAAATTTTAATGTTGCACTTGAATAGGTGTATGATAGTAAGTTAGGTAAGAATGGGGTTCTTACTTAAACATTCGATGACAAACAACTAGGTCGATGACGATTTTCGCCGAATACAACGTGGACGTTGACCTGCGGATGCTGCGCTCGTTCAGAGTGCTCCGCCCGCTCAAGCTCGTCTCGCGGATACCAAGTAATTCACAGTAATTGGCGAAAAGTTCAATAAACTACCTTATTATATTGTATAGAACGTTCTGGCTAGATGTGGTCGATGGAACTTTTTTGAACGTAGATGACACAGCGCTAGTTTTTGAAAATAGAACTTTTACATTTTTAGTGAGAGAACGTAGCATCGATTTCTTGCCATTTGAGAATCGTTATAGATGAGTGGTTTTCGATTTTTTGTGATTTATTGTCGATGCTAAATGTAATTTGAATTTCGGTTATTACGTGTTGCATAATAGAATACATTTGTTACATTGTGTATTGTTATTTTCAAATAAAACCCTAACGTAAGAATTTAGCTAAACACAACTACTTAGGTGTGAATAAATATGTCATAGTTTAAATTTTGTAACGTTTAACATGTGATTAGTTTAATAAAAACGTAACTAGAGACAATACTTAGATTGTAGATACTAAGCTAGTGACTCTTGTGTTAACCTGGGAATATGGTTCTGAAACTTAATAATAACATTTTGTGCAGTTGTCTCGAGCTTTCACGAGCATATTCCTTAGTAGTAATTTTATATTATTAAGTTAGTTGCTAGTTCAAGCTATAGTATCGAGTGATATGTGTTCGGCAGTATCATCACGCAGCTGCCAATCGCGCCCGCCGACGTCGACTTCAGGACCTTGCGTGCCATTAGGGTGCTGAGGCCCCTTAAATTAGTATCGGGCGTTCCTAGTGAGTTCTAGAACATTCTTAGTTTAGCATTCGTAGCTTCACTTTAGCAGCTATTGCATAATTTGAACAAGTTGTTAAATCTAAGTTAAAGTTAAACCAGTGCATTATTCATTACAGTAATAATTTTTTTACTAACACCCTGCCGTTTTGAGCCACTTGCGTGATATTTCTTTGAATTAACATTGTGAAAATAAAGAATTTTGTTTCAAATTATGCAACAGTATAATCACATGTTCTTGTGCACGATCACTGTAATTTTTCCATTTGCTGGCTTTTTATTAATGTTATATTGTATCGTTTAATTTACATTCATTAATATTTTCCTAACTTTATGGCGTATTGTATTATAAACATTAATTTTACTGTTAATTTTACATGTATTTAATCATCTTTCGATTACTCGTATAATTCGCAAATTGGCTTTTTAATTTCATCATTGTTAATAATTAATTGAATTGTATAATATTTGTCAAAATTATGAGAACAATCAAATTCATTATGTTGTACACTAATCAAAATTTTTAGTTTTAAACTTTCATCTTAACTTTTATATGATATGTCAGGGTTATAAGATAATTTTGTACACAGGTTTGCAAGTTGTATTGAAGTCGATCATCAAGGCGATGGCCCCATTGCTGCAGATCGGCCTCTTGGTGCTTTTCGCGATCGTCATTTTCGCTATCATTGGCCTCGAGTTTTATTCTGGGGCTCTACATAAGACTTGTTATAGTTTAGAAGATATTAGTAAGTACCTTCAGAATCTGTCAATGTAACTTAATCTAATTGTTAATGCGGCCAACAGAATATTATACTCGAGCATCAATCGTACATTGACCTTATAGTTTTGTATACAAAACTTCGTATTGTTAACTAACAACTTAGTATTTTACTTTGGAAAAACTAATTAAGTTTTTGCACTCAGAAGTAAACAAATAAACTTGTACTACTTTGTGCATCGACCATAAATAGCAAGTATTGACCTACTTGCTGTAGTGGCTATGCAAACCTATGATACAAATACACTTCGAATGCTACTTTATTGTGTTTGTGTTTTTTTTATGTAAATAAAGAAAATAAACCATTTTATATAAGCTTTAGATTATATGACGTTAATATTGAATAGTCAATAATTCAAAGGTTCAAAAGACCCTCAATTTTTTATCAATACTGAGTATACTCACGCAATGTACATATGTTCCTAAAATACACTTAAAACTAAAACTGCTCCAACAGGTGAAGTAGTGAACGATGGCGACAACCCGACACCATGCAACGCCGACAACGAGACACTAGCGCCGTATGGCGCGCACGTCTGCACCTACGACAAGAGCACGTGCCTGGAGAAGTGGGAGGGGCCGAACAGGGGCATCACTTCCTTCGACAATATCGGCTTCGCTATGCTCACCGTCTTCCAGTGCATTACCATGGAGGGTTGGACCGCTATCCTCTATTGGGTATTTATCACGTTATTATGTTTTAAAAGTGAAACTTCTTTAGAATCGTTGTGATTTGAAACTCTATGAAACGGAAATAAAATGGAAATGCAACGCTAAAAAGAGACAAACACATAAATATATAGGATTAAGCCGACGAGAGAATGAGATATAATACATTCCATGTTGCCATGGTAACCGTTGTTATTGTCTGACAAATATATAATAATAAGTATCACTTCTACCATTTGTGAATGGCACACACACGCACTTTTTTTTATTTGCCTAGCTTATGTTGCAATATATGGGTAGTCTTGATCGGGGAAATTTTATTCTCTCATGGAAACGTGATATTTTCGTTTCATCTATGGCGGGTGTTATTTTTACTATTTTTTCAAAAAAAGAATGATCATAATGGGTTCACAATTAAAGTTATCCCGTAACATACACACAATAAAACAAAAAATGTTGTTAAATTGAATAGCTTTTAGCCTTTTTGAAGTCTATCGAAAATGATTAATACAGACTTAATGTATGGTGTATATGCTATGAACTTGATGTTTTATTCAATTCACATGCATGTATCAACAAAAATGTCTTTGTTTCAGACAAATGATGCGTTAGGTAGTACGTTCAACTGGATTTACTTTGTGCCTCTCATAGTATTGGGTTCATTCTTTATGCTCAACTTAGTTCTCGGTGTCCTTAGCGGGTAAGTACAAAATATTTAATTACATATAACAACTATTCCCACCATATATTTATATTATGTAATAACATTTTTTTAATAAAACAAAAGACACACGCACACACACTACACATATTAATAAGCTAAGTTTATATATCAATGTTTTATTTTAAACAATTAATCATATGCAGTGAATTTTCTAATGAGAGAGGCCGTGTAGAGCGTAGAGCTCAGTTCCAAAAGGAAAGAGCACGGCAAATGTTCAATCAAGACTTTAACGGTTACATTAACTGGATCACTGAAGCAGGTCTGAAATTGTGTGAGGCTTGGACTTAAGCTCTGTGTATCTACTGCTAGATATATTATATATGTTGATTCAAATTTAAATATTTAAATATATGTATGTATATCTTTTGTGGTTGTGAGTATAGAAATGTAGTTGGTAATTATTTATGACAGATTTATTAAAAGTAAGTTTGAAACATATTTAGAAACATAGAATTTGTGTGGTTATTAAACATACTGTACATAAGATTCATAAATAACTTTTCAAATCATTAATGTAATATGCTAGTGGCTCGTCTATTCATAGCTAGATTGTAAAAATTGCTGTATTTTCAGTGAATTCGCTAAAGAAAGAGAGAAAGTAGAAAATAGACAAGAATTTCTTAAATTAAGAAGACAACAGGTACTAGAGAGAGAACTTAATGGCTACGTTGAGTGGATTTGTAAAGCTGGTAAGTGGCAATTCCACTTGTTAAACAAAAATATAGTTTAATAACTCTAAACTGGTTTTATATTTTCAGAGGAAGTTATATTAGCAGAAGAAAGGACGACGGAAGAAGAAAGAATGCACATAATTGAAGGTATTGAAATATGTTCTAAAATTAGTATTAATCTAGTGTTTATTTGATAACCTATTATAATTAAATATGGAGTATCTGTAACAACTGTAATTCTGTTAGGTAGACCTGAGAAGATATTTGCTTTATATTATACCAAATTGGAATTTTATGATATGTTATTTCTTTTAATTTAATAGCTCGAAGAAGAGCAGCAGCAAAGAAAAAGTTAAAAAACTTAGGCAAAAGTAAAAGCACAGATACTGAAGAAGAAGAACAGGATGAAGACTGTGGGGATGACGGTCAGTATGAGATCTTTATCATTAGTGCATATTTCGCGACTGGTGTGTTATATGTAGATTACATGTTATTGAGTTCATTATACCTTATAGTTTTATTTTTAAAGATAGAATATCGAATTTCTGAAATTTTATATTAGTTCATTATTTCTAACGTTGTTATAAAATTATAAGCGTAACATTAAAAACACCATCAAGTAAACGTCTATCAGCTATGACATCAGTAATACCTAAGTCTATGTACATAGTATATCTGTTCTTATTTAGCTCTACTAATTCTATGTTAAATATTGAATGTTGCATGTCGTTGTCTTTCAAAACTTGATTCTTAAACTCCTTCATTTCCATACGTATTCGTACTCTATTTGTGTGTTGGTTGTTTACAGTTCCAAAGAAAAAGCAAGGTATGGGATCAAGCGTGACGCTGGTAGAATATTCCTTTTCATCTTCTTTGTAGATCTAGTTTAGATCTAGCCTTAGGAATAGCGTACCCTGATCCCTTATAAATAACAACCATATGACCCCATTTATTTTATGTTTCTTAGATTTTGAGTTATGAAAATAGGATTAATATCGATGATAGAGAATTTACTTTACAATGCTTAGTTTCATTATCTTATAAAAAGTTACCTTATAGCGTAACGCCTAATAGTTATATTTTGTAAGAAAAATATTACTTATTTATCCCAAGGGACGGTGGTTAAGATTTATATGCAATAAATATCGGATAGCAGCTCCGATAGAATTTCGATACTTTCGGAAAGCCAATTACCGTTGATTACTAATATATCTCGCAAATTATGTAACTATATGATAAATTACGTTTTTGTTACTTTAAATTTATTTATAAAAATCGAAACTAACTCAAATATTCAAAATAGCTTCTGTTCAATACTATATTATTAGGTGTTTATTTACTTAAGCTTTTAAAGTCAACATGATGAGTTAGTTCCGAATAATTCTGCTATTATCTTTTATGGCACATTATATTTTTATCTAAAAAAATACCCGAAATTTATATTTTTTTGCCTTAAAGAAAAGCGTAAAACATGACACAACTTAGATGTACGTAGAATATTTTAAAAGATAAGAACATTTTATTTAAACTCATTGAATACTGCAGGTTTTTTGAAAAGCAAAGCGCGAACAGCTGGAAAATGTGCAAACTTCTGGAGGGCGGAAAAGAGGTTTCGATTTTGGATCAGACATACAGTGAAAACACAGTGGTTTTATTGGTTTGTTATCGTGTTGGTGCTTTTCAATACGATATGCGTAGCTGTTGAGCACTATAGACAACCTAAGTGGCTTACTTCCTTTTTATGTGAGTGAAATATACTTTTTTGATAATTTTTGATAATTTCTTATTTTCAATTTTTTGTCGAAATAATCCAAAATTATTTGGAATTTTAAAATTCCAATCATATATACATCCTTTGAATTGCCTGAAGAAATAAGAAACACAATCTGACTCAAAAACTTTCATATTTACACAGTTACATTGTTATACAGTGCATATCTAATAACATTGTTCTTTTTACAGACTATGCCGAATTTGTGTTCTTGGGGTTATTTATGATGGAAATGTGGGTGAAAATGTATGCCCTCGGGCCGCGGATTTACTTCGAGTCCTCGTTCAACCGCTTCGACTGTGTCGTTATATCCGGCTCCATCTTCGAAGTGGTGTGGTCAGAAGTAAAGGGCGGCTCTTTCGGTCTCTCTGTCCTTAGGGCTTTGAGGCTATTGAGGATATTTAAGGTTATATTTTCTTTCATAACATAATTTATTTAATGTACGCTGTAAATTGGTCTATTTTTAACCCCAGTCGCAATAAAATGGTGTTTATTAGTTTGAGATGTTTGTCTGTGTATCCGTGTGTCTATCTATGGCATCATAACTTCCAAACGGATGAACCTATTTTAATTTTGTTTTTAACAATAATTGACCTTAGCTAGAATATGCAGCAAATGCAATTTTTATTACCTATTTATATAATATATTAATATTTAAACCTAACTATATGATTTTTCTCATAATATTAGGTTTAAAAAATGCATCTTTGATACTATCATATTTTATACACATTTTTCTATTATTTATGTGACCCTCAAAACAAATTATAAATATTAATTTCAGGTCACAAAATATTGGTCGTCGCTACGTAATCTTGTGATATCTCTTCTAAACTCAATGAGATCTATTATCTCGTTGCTGTTTCTTCTATTCTTGTTCATTCTTATCTTTGCTCTGCTTGGGATGCAATTATTTGGTGGACAGTTCAATTTCGAGGGAGGCACGCCGCCAACGAACTTCAATACATTTCCGATCGCACTGCTTACTGTCTTCCAGGTACAATATCATTACATTTAAATTATTGTTCATAAGGAATTTTACTAATAAGCTTCTCATGCCTTCATGGATCTCAATATATCTAGGTAAATGTATCTACTCAACTGATGGAAGAAAGTAGCAATAACTTTAAATGACATTATTTTTATTAACATGTCCTACAATAAAAATGTTGCATCGATGGCAAATATTGCGTGTAATAAACAGAGTGATAGAATTGAAATAAAGTCACTTTAAATGTATAACAATTTTACTCTATTATTTATATAGGTTTTGATTCCTATAGTATATTTATATGTTTTTTTCTTTCCTCAGATTTTAACAGGCGAGGATTGGAATGAAGTAATGTATGATGGAATCCAGTCTCAGGGCGGTATTCAGAGTGGCATGATCTACTCGCTGTACTTTGTTATTCTTGTACTATTTGGGAACTACACACTGTTGAATGTGTTTCTTGCTATCGCCGTCGACAACTTGGCTAATGCTCAGGTACGGACTTCAATCAATTTAGTAATAGATTTTGCTTTAGATACAAAATTTATAAAAGCATATTCTAAATTATATTAATTAATCTGAAGCCAAATCTATTATAACCATATAATTGGGACATTCATATTGTGTGTCAACGTCGAAGCTCTTTTGTAAATTTGACGCCGCTTTTCGTGTAAATGTAGCCATTTTATATTTACAGGAATTAACAGCAGCCGAGGAAGAGCAAGTCGAAGAAGATAAGCTTGCAGTAAGTTATAAGTATTTTATGTTCGCTTTAAAACGTTTACTATATTGCCTTAACGCAAATTTTAAAATCTAAGTTCAAGGATTGTAGAATGCGTTCGTCTTTAGGTCATTTCTACTTGATTTTTTAAAATATCTTTACATACAATTGCGTCTTTTTTGGGCTGATTAGGAATCGGAGAAACTTGCGGTGGATGGATCGCCACCTCTTAACGTTAGTCAGTCATCAGCGAGTAGGAAGGTAAAAAGTTGAACGAAGCATTGCTTGAAGGTCAATGGTTGTGGTAGCTTAAAATATTGTTGACTACTTGGACTCATTACACAAATGTGCTAAGTGTATTTGTTTCGCTATATCTTATAAATGATAGAAAAAATCAATCAGTAGACATATTATGATGCTAGTTCATGTACCTACTATTAAAATAGATCAGCAATATTATAAGTATAGTCGTTTATGGATCTATGTGCTTCTGTGGGCCTAATGTCGGGAGAAGATTTCTTCCAATGTTTTCGATATAGATGCAAGAAATTTAATTTATAGGAAGTAATTTTACGTCAATGTTTTCATTTTTCGGTCTTAACCGAACAAGCTAAATTTTAATTGTTTTATATTTTTGCTTATTTTTATTGATTGAATATTATTTTGGTCATTTATAATCCCTCAAATCTTCTATAAGTGCATGTCTGTCTGACGAAAGAAGAAACCCTTTATATTCTCAGTGTTATAAAACTAGGTTATTTATTGATTGTATTAATTTCTTACAAATTTTATACTATATAAGAGTGATAGTACATATTTATATAGTATTTACTGTAGATTCAGGAGACGAAGATTTTATTTTAATATTTATTTATTATGTGTATTTTAATAGATATTATAATTTTTAGAACAAAAAGAAAGAGGAGGCCAAAAAAGATGAAGAAGAGATACCAGATGGACCAAAACCAATGCTGCCATATTCGTCCATGTTTATTTTGTCACCTACTAATCCGTAAGTTGTCTTTAAAATTATAGGATTTTAATAAATTGATGTAATATATAATTCAAATGTTGTTTTCCATTACAGCATTAGACGAGGCGCACACTGGATAGTAAATTTAAGATATTTTGATTTTTTTATCATGGTAGTTATTTGCATGAGTTCTGTGGCTTTAGCGGCTGAAGACCCCGTAGTTGAAGAAAGTGACAGGTAACATTAATATTTTATTATATAATAAAATAAAATTAATTTATACCCCATGAACTTTGATTTTTTTATTTATATATTCTCGAACCCATCAGAAATAAAGTGTTAAACTACTTCGACTACGCGTTCACGGGGGTGTTCACTGTGGAAATGCTGCTCAAGATCGTGGATCTCGGCATCCTGTTCCACCCTGGCGCGTACTTGCGCGACCTGTGGAACATCATGGACGCCGCGGTCGTCATCTGTGCCCTAGTCAGCTTCGGTTTTGAGATCGGGTGAACTGTTTATTTTTTTTACCTACAGTATGATAATAGATATGTTCAATTTGATGTTACATACAAAAAAATTAACGATTTGGTTCAAATTAGTTATTCTCAGAATTTATTGTTTATAGTTAACGTTTCGTATAAAAATAGAAATGTTGATCTTATAGATAGTTTGCACTATAAATTCATAAGCATTGTACAAAATAACTTTATTATTGTGATATTATATCGTAATTAAACTGAATAATTCTGTTAAATGTAATTTATTTAATTTAAAAAGTAATTATTGTTATTGTAAGTTGGAAACTTATAACGTATAATACTGATTTATTTATTTTCAGAGGTGTAAAAAAAGGGGCCGGGCAGAACTTATCCACGATAAAATCGTTACGAGTGTTAAGAGTGCTCAGACCTTTAAAAACTATAAAACGTGTTCCAAAGTTAAAAGCAGTGTTTGACTGTGTTGTGAACTCTTTGAAAAATGTCATAAACATTCTCATTGTGTACATATTGTTTCAATTCATATTCGCTGTAATTGCGGTTCAACTTTTTAATGGTAAATTTTTTCACTGCAACGATATCAGTAAGAATACTTTTGAAGACTGCCAGTGAGTATTATTTTATGTTATATTCCAATTATTACTACATATTACATAGCTTATTAAAATTTAGCCAATCATATAATTTAAAAGTATAAAATTAATTTAACGATCTTGATCCTATTTTCTTAATTTCGATATTTTTTATAGAACACGATATTTTTTATAGATCACACATTTCAACCTGAAATATACTATAGCACTAGCGACTTAACCTCGCTTTTCTCGGGTTTGTCCCTAGCTTGATTCCCCATACAAACTTTTATCCCCATTGTCACCCCCTTAAGGGATGATTTCCGGGATAAAAAATATCCTAAATTCTTCTCAGGTTCTCAAACTTATCTTCTTATCAAATTTCATCTAAATGGATTCAGTAGATCCAGAGATTACCCCCTGCTACGTTAAAAACTCACTAACTTTACCTCTTTATAATATTAGTAGGTATAGATACTCGTATCTATGAACTTATAAAAACACACGATACGTATTTTTTTATACAGAGGATCGTATTTCATGTACGAGCCAAACGTCCTCCTGCCGAAAGTGGCGAAACGCCAGTGGACGACGCAATCCTTCCACTACGACAACGTCGCCTCCGCCATGCTTACACTATTCGCCGTGCAGACGGGAGAAGGCTGGCCTCAGTAAGACTTTCTATATATGTTGATGAACTGAAGATATTTGTTCGTTTAATTCAACATTTGATGGATGTCTAGAGCAACGATGACATTATTTATTTTACATACATTAAGATATTTTTTATAGTACTAACCTCGCGTAAATGGTATTGTGTGAAAATAACTTTATAAAAATGTCAGTGGTTGAAGATCGATAAGCAAAACAAAACAGTTTTTGATCAGTTGTCGTAAGTCAACAAACATTAAATCCAATATCGTTCATTTGCAGAGTATTACAAAATTCAATGGCCGCCACTTACGAAGACAGGGGACCCATACAAAATTTTCGAATAGAAATGTCCATATTTTATATAGTTTACTTTGTGGTGTTTCCGTTCTTCTTTGTCAACATATTCGTAGCTCTGATTATCATCACATTTCAAGAGCAGGGCGAAGCTGAGTTACAAGATGCTGAAATAGAAAAGAATCAGGTAACTTTTTATCTTTCAATTGATGGTACATATATTTGTGCCAATATTCAAAAACTTACTACTTGCTTATTATGTTTTAGAAATCGTGTATAGATTTCACGATAGAAGCGCGGCCTTTAGAGAGGTATATGCCAAGTAGAAGGGGAAGTCTTAAGTACAAAGTGTGGAGAATAGTAGTCTCTACACCTTTTGAGTACTTCATCATGGCACTTATTGTGCTAAATACATTGTTGCTCATGATGAAGGTATGTATCCAATCTCAATATTACTAAGATGAATATGACATAGATTCGGTAACAATATTCGCTGAGAGCATTCATACTATTTTAACTTAAACACTGTTAAGATGAACTAAACAAATAAAGCACAGTATATGTGATAAGTAGACAAATACCACAAATACAATGTAGAAGAAGAAAATTTTGAAATGAATCACAAGGCACATAATAAATTAGATTAGCCGCCTTCCTTTGATATTCACGACGGCTTGCACCTTACCTAAAAAGTGTTGATACCTATATAATGTGTATCCGTTACTATATATATGTACAAGTATGATTTATATAATTTGATAGTGAAACAAGTTTCTTCATATCTACAATTTAAAAATATTGTATACAAATTGGTACGTGTCTCAAAAGGTCTTAACGTTAGTGCTGCCAAATAACAAACATAACTCACACAAACACTACACAAAAGTTTATATATTTCGGGGTCAGTGTACACAGCAATGGAATGCGCCGTTTTTAAACCAGAGCCTCTACCATCAAATGTATCGTCGAATATTTTATGTTGTTTATTTGTGTTTTCTGTTGTGTAACCCTGTTCCTTGCTTGCTATTCTTTAATATTTATGTATAAGTGTTTTTGCACGATATGCCTATCCTTCCTGCACAATTACGGCACAAAATTTTCACAATTTATTTTATGTCCGTGCTTGTGAATGCACAATATCTCTGGAATCAGGTCGAGAATGAAGCCATTCATGTTGTTCGTGTTGCATGATTCTTATATAAAGCCCTATTCTTGTCTTTTGTGTGAAAGATCTGCATGATTGGTAGAAAGGCCTTCTGCCTTATAAAATTTAATGGCTTCGGGCTGCTTCATGTATGTCATGTAACTTTAATACGTGAAAAGATTAGCGGGTTTACGAAATTTAGTAAAGAATATTGGAATAACTGAATATATATTATGATCACCATTTCACATTTATCCCCATTTTGAGTTTTCTTTGGCCTTTAAACTTGAATCACGTCTTCTTTTAACTCTTTGGTTTTACTGCGTATTTTTTTTCTTTTAGTAGTAAATAGAATATCCTTAACACCAATATTCCACGTAACTATATTCTCCTAAACTATTTTAAATGTTGTGTTTAATTATGAGAACTATATTGAAACTTTTAACAATATTAACAAATGCATTCCATACATTATTTTTTATACTATAATATTCTATTCCGAAGTCAGTAGTACGCATCAAATAACAAATAAATATTTTCATTGCCATGGGTTTATCTGACACGTCATCACATAATGGCAGTATTATAATCAAAATGACGTCTACGCGGAGATCCTCAAGTATTCGAATATGGGGTTTACTGGAATGTTTTCTGTGGAAACAGTGTTGAAAATCATCGCTTATGGTGTCAAAGTAAGTACACAAGCAACACAGTTAAAACTGACACATCTTAAGTTTTAACGAGTAGGAAGGGAAAATACAGATGTTACAAATGTACTCTTTCTGCTAATAACATTATATTTTTATGTATTTCATGACTGTATGTGGGACTTTTTCTAGCCAAGTAAATATTAACCCTTTCCACGTATCCCGTACTAATTTCTCTCTGATAGCTGCGAAAGTTGATTATATGGTAGCTGATCCTTGTGAAGCATGGCCTTTCTTGTTGCATGTAGCACATGTGCGTTCATCACTAAATCTATAAAGCTCAACTTGTATCCTAACAGTGCTTGGTACTAATAGCCTGCAGCTGATGCTATAATTCAGGTGAGATTTTCAAAGCGACTTTTGTTGGTGATGTATCGTCGACCGGATATAAGGGGTTAGTATTAAAATTTTTCTTTATTATGCGATGTAATTGTAATAAAACCTCTAACCTGTGGTAAATGTTATCTGTGACCGCATGTTAGCATGTACAGTGGCCTCTGCATGAAACACGTGCACTATTCACAAATAACTGGAACAAAACAATATTACACATTAAAATGTTAGCTCGTTATCGAAGCTCATAACAAAAACAGACACAGATACACGTACTATTACTTAAAAACAATCATATTTGTAACTTTAAAATATAGCGGTTAGTGACGTACTACGTTTGGACGAAGCTAAATGCTAGATCAGTTTCGGCTAATGTTTTATTTAGGTTTATTAGAAAAAATAATTGGTACATAAGTTTTTGTTAGCATTTAGCTTAGATTTAATGGTTTTGTCTTTAAAAAATATTGGTCTTGGTTTTGTGTTAGTTTCACGAGGCTCCACCGATGCTCATGGACGTGTTAACAGTCATGAACATAGTCTTTACATTCTTCTTTCTCCTCGAGACAGTTTTGAAGTTAATTGCCTTCGGATGTACGGTAAGAATGACTCACTTTTTGATTAAAATACCACTGAAATTATTTTAATTAGCATTTGAATACAATTACAAAAAAATAAAATGGACTAATTGTAAGCTATGGTACGCCAAATTGATTTTTCTCTATATAAAAATAAATTTATTGGAGATTCTCATTTTGATTTTTACGAACTCTTACAATATTTTATCTTTATACGTTTTTGTAGATCAAAATATTATAATTGATCATAATCGCGTAAAGTTAATTACTAACCAAAGATGCATGTTACACGAAAAATTGCTTATATGTAAAATGAGAAACTTCAGTATAAAGTACACATGGTGGTACTGAATACCTTAATTTTAGTTGTTATACAATATTCAATATTGACTTGAATATATTTAAAGCTAGAAAACTTTTTATAGAAGATTTATGACATGCTGCTTATTTTATGACCATAATTTTCAATAGATTTTTATATCACTTAATTACATTTTTAGACTATAGGCAAGAAGTTTTGCATTTTTAGATATTGATGAAATAGAAGATGAAGAGAGATATCCTGAACCCTGTCCTTATTTTTCCTATAATATGTTACCTGTCATATGGAAAGCGTACATTTGTATACTTATTATAAGTTTATAACCTTTTTTAATGTTATCCTTACAAATACCTTCTATAAGTGAATCAAAGCTATTAATGATATATCATTATTATTCAATTAATTTTGAATTTTGAAAATTAAATAAATAAGATAGATAATATTCAAAAGTCACTAAATGTTAATCATTAACTTGTAATTACAGAATTTTTTCAAAGACCCTTGGAATACGTTTGATTTTATTACGGTCATTGGAAGTATTATTGACGCCCTCATCATGGAATTTGGCGTGAGTATTTCTACTCTTACTAATTTGTTAAGTTTCGTTATCTTTTAAATTATTGTTTACAATAAAAGCTCTATCTGCTTTGTTGTGATATATTGATAAATTCTAAGATATACCCTGATTACAGAGCGACCTTGCTGAAAACTGTGCTGACATATCCTGTCAGCAGGTAAAGAATTAAATCTTTGATTGCTAGGAAATTTAGAATGTTTTGTAACAGATTCTTGGTGGTTTAGAGTTTATTTGTTTAAAATTATCCGATTGATATTTAGTAGTGCTAGAAGGTTTCTAACATTTTGATCTATAGATATAGCTTTCGAAATAGGATTCGTGTGCTAGGTGTGATTTTTTGATTTTAGAATTGAGATGTTGTGAAGTTGGTGTTACTTGTTTGAAAGCTCTAGAAAATGTTTGGATCGCTAGAATTTTACAATTAGTCGTGTTATTCGACAAAGAAATCAATTCTTTTTTGTATTTAATTTTTATTAGATTCCCTGTCGTATTTAAGCTAATATTTGCCCATGCCTCATGTCGTTAACATTTCAGATTCGCTAGAAATCTTAGTATTAGTAAATCCATGTTTTCCCCGATGTCTATTTGACAAATTTTTAGCTAATAGTAAAAATTAGAGTTGCTGATATATTAAGTTTTTCTTGTGTTTTAAAACCCTTTCATACAGTGAGAGTTCACTATGTTTTACCTCATTTTCATAGTTTCAAAATTGTTTACAAAAATAGGAATAGCATTTTTATACTATGAAAAACATAGTGAATATAGAACCCATAATTCAAAACGATACTTTGACGCAATTGTATCATCCTATATCGTATGTTATCGACAGTTTCCATAAATTACATGAACTTCCACAGTATTAAGATTATTATTATAACCTCCTTTATTCCTTTATTTATAAATATGAGAAAATATTACCACAATTAAGTAGAAATTTTTAAGTAGGTATCATATAAAACCGTAGGTTAGATACATTCGAATTTCAAATAATATTTTATTTTCTCTTAGATTGTGTTAGAGTATTTAATATTAATTATAGTACTTTTTGCTTTGACAAATTTCTTGCTCATTAATTATATATATTTTATCACATCTTAAATATTTCCTAGTAGGATTTGACTGAGGGTTAATGAATTGGCTTATTTTAATTACTTAGAATTGACAAGAATTCAGTCACAATAACAACATTTACTGTTTTATTGTAAGGTAAATATAAACGTTCCAGGAAAACACATTCAACGTTGGTTTCCTCCGCCTCTTTCGAGCCGCGCGACTGATCAAGCTGCTTCGACAGGGCTACACCATTCGAATACTTCTCTGGACGTTCGTGCAGAGTTTTAAAGCCTTACCCTATGTGTGCCTTCTAATCGCGATGCTATTCTTCATTTATGCCATTATCGGGATGCAGGTGAAATATTTAACCTTTCAAGATCAATTATTTAGATTTTTTTAAGGAAGTAATAAAAGCATTTAATGGTAATGTGGTTTCTTTGCAGGTGTTTGGTAATATAGAATTAGCAGCTGAATCTGATATGAACAGACACAACAACTTTCGAAGTTTTATACAAGCGCTCATGTTATTATTTAGGTATGAAATATTTATGCATTTTCTTTACTATAATTAAGATAGTTATTATTTAAAGATTTACGTCATTTCTAACCATTTAGTAGTCTATGGTTTATTGTTGCTCCAAAGTGAATTCACACGTTTTCCAAGCATTATTCACAGAGTACAAAATAAAATCGAATCTTCATATTAATAGATTATTGAGTTGCCGCAGTTTCGCAGCATTTGAAGCCAACAATTTATTACATGACTGATATTGATACCACTCGCTTAATACATTCATAGTAAAGTGTCGTATATCATTGTATTTCCTTGATAATGTTGCCGCCATTAATAAGATTTCTACGAAGTTTTGTTAAAACACAAATTCAAGGGCACGCAAGGAAAATATAGCCAAGATGTATGTTAATAAATGTTTTAACTTCCAGATGTGCTACAGGAGAGTCGTGGCCGAATATAATGTTAGCTTGTCTAAAACCGGCCAAGTGCGATAAAGCGGCTGAGAAGTCCGCCAATGAGCCCTGCGGAAGCACACTAGCATATGCTTACTTTGTGTCATTCATATTCTTCTGTTCTTTTCTTGTAAGTATCGTAATCTAAATATTAAAAAAAAACTAAACTTTTATCACAGTTAAAATTTTGCTAAAATTTTTCTTTTTTCAGATGTTGAATTTATTCGTTGCCGTCATTATGGATAATTTTGACTATTTAACGAGAGACTCGTCCATTCTTGGAGCGCATCATTTAGATGAATTTGTCAGAATATGGGCTGAATATGATCCGAATGCTACGTAAATATTATAAAATTTACATTCTTTATGCAGATACCATATAATTCATGACAGATAAAATATTTATTTTAAAACTTTTTCAGAGGGAAAATTCACTACACAGAAATGTACGATATGTTAAAAAATATGGATCCGCCTCTAGGTTTCGGTAATAAGTGTCCTAACAGACTAGCATACAAGAAATTAATTAGGATGAATATGCCGTTGGACGAAGAAGGGAAAGTTAATTTCACAACTACACTATTTGCCTTAATCCGAGAGAACCTCAGCATTAAGATGAGATCTGGTAAGGTTTTGAAAAATAACTTACTAATCACATATGTAACTATGCATCAAGCATAATAAGGATTTTCTACTCCTTACTTTAGCCAATATACTTTATAGGTAATATTTTTGTCACTTAGATCTGGAATGTAATTTCAACATGATCTAAAAAGGGACCATTTAGTTGGCTAGTAATTAGAAGAATTACTAAATATATTAATTATTACCTACTGTAGATCGACGGATCAGAAGTTTATAATAATCTAAAATCATTTAAAATGTGTTTTAGCGGAAGAAATGGACCAAGCCGATGAAGAACTGAGAGAAACAATAACCAACATTTGGCCACTACAGGCGAAGAAGATGCTAGATTTGCTGGTGCCTCGAAAAGATGTTCTCAATGCAGGGAAACTAACGGTTGGAAAGATATACGCAGGACTTCTCATCCTAGAGAGCTGGAGATCGACTAGGTTTGGCAAGAACGAGCCGAAGGTTCCGGTAAGTCGTCTTGCAAACGTTAGAATCTATGCACCCTGGTCGTTTTAATTTTCCTTCCACGTGGTTACTTGTTCAAATTACAAAGTTTAATTACTTTAGGCGTAGTTCAACTGAAGCCAGAGTAAACGTGTGTGGCTAAATTGAGATGGATGTTTCTGCACAGTTTTAGTAATTTTGAGCCAAGTGTAAATTATCGTCGTTAGGTTTAAATACACGATTATAAAGTAGTGTTTGTTGATGGTCCCTTAACTTCCCTATGTTTAGATTTATGAAATACACTTAATAGTTAGATAACTATAGATGGTTGTTATCGTCCCGTGGATGTATTGTTGTGTAACATAAGGCTTATGTAAAATCTTTAGCCTTGAATAGAATTGAACCACCAAAGGGTGATTGGCAATGTAGAATGAAATAATTTTAACAAATGATAGACATTCAACAACAATACGTCACTTTAGTTAAAATCGACTCTCAATGAGTCGACTACATTGGTGGTTTACTTTTCAGGCATTCAGCGAGAATAGCCCTACGGCCAATCAGCCGGTAGTATTTAATGTTTTAAGGAACGAAATTTTGACTACCTTTTTCTTGCACCATAATAGATTATTAATTTTTGCATTTATTTTTACGTAAACTTCTTTCGCATCGTGTTTAAATAAAAAGTTTTTAAATAAAAAAAATAGCGACCGAATAACACGATGGTCAATGATCATTCATCTTTGAAAACTTTTGATAGAGCGATTTAAAATCTTAGAACTTAGCTATAAACTGAATAGTAATAGATACACACATCACCTTGATAGCGTGGACAAATTTGTGATGACTTGCTTTGCATACATTTCTGTCCAAACAATCGTTAGGCCGTAGTAAACCACAATCAAATTACATTTGTGACCTGTCCTATAGTTGCAAAATTCATAAATAGTACGTAGGCGAGTTTGTGTGTTGATCCGTAGGGTTTTTTTTAGTAGATATAGAAGTGTGTCTTTTCGTAGTTGTCTTTTTCCCATTAGTGCCGTCTGTTTTTCTGACTCGTTCGCTATTTTTACATTTGTCGGATTTTATTTATTTACAGTTATAATATTTTCTACATTTCTCTAACTTGCAACTGTGCATGATTTATAACTTTTTACAGTATCAACTTTGAATCAAATTTTACTTTATTCTTTAAGTTTCCTTTAAATTACATTTTGGCTCAATTCATATCATCATACAAGCCTGATGTGATGATATTAATGAAAATCAAATTCAATGCTTCTTCGCTACGCTATTAATTGCAAACACCCAATAAAAAATAAAAGCGTGAAGATTCAAGCATTTGTAAATGAAACATGCGCATGACAAAACGATCAGATTATATATTTATTATGTACCTAATATATCACAATATCGTATTGTAAAGTATCGGGTCATAACAATGAAGGTGCCTACTGGCGAACTGCCTCTGGCTTTAAATTATTGCACATATATTTGAATGCACTGAAAATATACAAATATGCTTTTGTCAATTACAGCTCTTCGCAATTACACATCTTCTTCGAAGGTTTTCATGTTACAGAGTATTCATCACCTTCAATAACAACATGTCCTTAAACATTACATAAGTATTTCTTTAAAACTTTCAAACAAACTCATCATCGACTAACACGACAATGACATTCCATGTTCGATTTCATGGTCATGGTCCATAGTACTTCACACAGAACACCAACAAAGATAACACGAAAACGAACTCCAGCATGGATATTTATTGTATAGGAGGTTTGCGCATACTCATGTAGGTAGTATGTTAAATTAAAATGGTAATAGCCAATGGTGACATGAGATTGCGCAAGTGTTGGGAGAGTGGGATGATGTGGGGTGCGTGGTGCAGAAGGCGTCAATCTTAAACTGCCTGCTGGATGCGGCGGCGGCCGGGTTGGTCCCGGGCTCGAGGACTGGCTCTTTGAGTCATGAGATTCCAGGGATCGGAGAAGGCCACCAGGAAGATCCACACACTATAGCGAACCTCGCTAAACGCTCAACAAGAAGGTCGTTCAAGTAAGTTACTTGATTGGGTAAATGCATAAAATTTTATAAATAAGTATTTGCAAATAACCTTTTATATATTAAAAATCTCCGAAATCTCAAAACTTAAATCTATTATTAGTTGTAATTGAAATATGAGATAAGATGTATAATTGTCTATAGATGTGTTTCTTTTGTTACAGGAACAACAAAAAGGTGAATACCGTTGGTGAACATATTGACCCAATCATTATAATTGTTATTCAAACTTGGCGCACTCTCAGCGCAACGCTAGTTCAGATGTTACACAAACAATACTCTTCAAAATTATTTACTATTAGACTGAATTGGCATTAGCAGCACTTAAATATTATATGTAATGTTCTGGGTTAAATGTTCGATGGCTGATTGGTTAAATATTGGGTGTACTACTAACTTTATTAAAATATTTCTTTGCTCTAGATAGTTGGTGTTGTAACATTGTTAGTCTCGCTGTTTCGATGTGTTGTCCTAATGAAGATATTGTTATCGATTATGTTCCTCGTTTCGTCGTTTAGCTTATATAAAATAACCCTTATTTCAGTAGGACTAAAGTATGGTAAATTATTATTAGGGGCTTAGGCCCATTACACGTCTCTTTTCATAGATTATGTTGTACTGATAACAACTTTTGGTTTAACGTTTACAGGTTGTTGATGTTTAGGTAATTTTTTTCAATGTAATAACGCAGTATTTTAGTAGAATATTGATGTTTGTATAACGAATGTCTACTTGATTAGGTAAATATAGTGAATGATATTTGTTTAATTTTTATATATTAGGGATAATACCTACTAAAATTGTTGTTCTTTAGACACAGCACTTTTCATAACCAATACACATACACATTAACAATACTATCATCTCCATACTTAAAACCTCTAACAAAATAACTCTTAAATCACCGAAATGAATATAAATGCATGAATACCTAAACATATAATCGCATGACAATAATAAATAGTTTTTTACTAGTAGATCTAACAGTGCGTAGTTGGTAAGTATTCGATGTGTTTTAATAGATTCGTATGCACGAGCACATTTGCATGCACTGCAATATGTATTTAGGCACATTATGTGCATCGGTGTTGTTATACTTAGACCATTTTGTAAATATGGGACAGTAAATGCATTTAAGCCTTAAAAACGCGAAAATATTCTATAATCTTTATGGGAGCAGAAAATGATCTGTGTAATACTTTAGGTGCTGGAGTTACAAGATGTGGGGTCTCATCATGCGTCCATGGAATCCTTAGATGAAGCAAGGTTACAGCCACCTCATGCATACCAAAATGGACATCACGGAAGGTCGTCTAGTTTAAGGTAAAATTAAAAAAATATATGTAAATATTAAATAAAAAATTAATTAATTTTTGGTTCCCATTTTATTTATTTTATATTTTTACTTTTATGTTATTTTAGTATCATCGAAGAAGAAATAGATCTTGAAGATATCGTAATAAAGAACGGTATGTTTATAAAGCATGGAAATATGTGCTGATTGAAAAAACTAAACTAACCGAACTAACACTCTTTATAAACCTCTTTGAAACTTAGATGTTTGCATGGATTCTAAAACTATAATTTATAATTTTCGTTGTTATTAAACTATGTAATTTCTAACCACTAATTTAATATAAGGGCAATAGTATAAATAATCTAACATAAGGGCAGTGGTAGCCCTGTGATAACGCGCTCGTTTGAGAAACCGAGTGAAGCGGGTTCAAATCCCGGGTCTCACACCTCTGATATTTTCATGTGCGAGTCATTTCTAACATGATTACCACTTATCTTACGGTGAAGGAAAACATTGTGAGAAAATCTGCATGTCTGAGAGGTCCATGTGAAGTCCGCCAACCCACAATTGGCCAGCGTGGTGGACTATGGCCTAATCCCCCTGGAATTGAAACGTGGCCCGTGCCCAGCAGTGGGCCGTCCGAAAGGGCTGAACACAATCTAATATAACGTTAATAGAAATATATATAATTATGGAATTTCACTTCGGCCGATTTCGAATATTCTTCCATCTGTTGAGTACGAAATGAAATTAAAAATCGTCAATATTTTTTTACATTCGACTACGATAAAACTTATAATATATTCTCTAAGAAAATATGAAATGGGCATTAACAGTTTAATATTTAATACCTACTATAACATTAAAAATGATTGTTATAAAACTACATAATTCTACTAAATTGCTTCATTCCTGTAAGTACTAAAGAACTCGTTAAGGACTTGTATCACAAAAAAATATATATCCCTACTGATGAAGATAATAATAAAGATAATGACAACTTAGGTTTATAATATGTTTTTATATTATATTTCAGACGATCTCCAAGTCCCAGACGGCGAGGGCATTACGGAGGCTACCACCACGAGATAGGCTTCTCCGACACAGTTAACAATGTCGTCGAAATAGTCAAACACGAACATCAAAGACATGGCCGTACACATAGAGCGCCCCATCACTACCACCCGCATGGTAGGTGGTGCCTTTGATTTTACGACAAAAGCTACGATGCTCATATTTATAGCGTAAAATATATGACTTTTTATAACACATCTAAAGTGAATCTGCTGGTATCTATAGATTACCTTTTTTTCTCTAATAATGATTTATTGCTCCTTTAATTTATTTTATTTTAAGTATATTTAGTTCCTCTTCATTCATGTCAGCAGATTCACTGGCTTAACGCTAATGCAAATGAAATTGTTAACGTTATTATAATCATTATTCAAAGTATCACGATTAATATTAAGCCTTAAAAAGCTACTTTCTCGCATTTGACAATTATTATTCCCATTTTTTTCATATAGTTTTCACGCATATTGTAACCATAAGCATATTTATTATCTTTCATTTAGATTTAGTTTATGAAATTGAAACAGTTTTGCAAACATTTTTCTTCTCATGAAGGTACTCTGAAAGTTTTGTGAGAAGATGGGAACCTTAGCTTTAAAAAGTAGTTGTAGAAATTCATGTTCCGTAGATGTAGTCATAAGATTTTCAGTGAGCCAAGCCATTGTGCTGCGACTAAATAAGTTCGTAATATTAGATAAAGATTGTTTATCTTAGCCTTGTTAAATATTCACAAAGCTAGTTTTGTAAAATATACTTTGTAGTTGAGATTTAGCTCTATTGAGATTATTGCTCATTCGTATGCATTTGTTTAATATAAAGACTTACCATCAGGCTATACCTATTGTTTTATGATATATGAGTATTATAGTTAAGTATACGTTAGATAGCGAATGAATTAAATGATATTTTAGTGCCAACTAGATAAAACTTACGAATAAAATATTGGCAATTATGTGATTAATTATAATGAAAAATTCGCAATAACGTCAAAATTGTATTGCCTGCTGCATGCTAAGACTAATGTGTGCCCACTTTGGTTGCACCACGCTTTGACTCGGATTTGATATGATGCCTGAAGCGCATGCACAAAATTAACTTCGACTACATCATGCAGCATGCAAACGCTTGATGAAAAATTTTAATTTTTCTACTTTTTGTTGGACTACAGTGAATATAGAGAAATTCCTGTACTACACACTAAACGCTTTGTGTCCTGTATACTATATAACATATGGACACACTACTCCAGACTGAGCGACATCCCATTCCTTTTATATCCAACTTCCTCCTATACTATCTTAATTAACCTTTGCAAGATATTCAAAACTTTTAGAGTCACCTTTTTGAGTAAAGAAACTAGGTCGGTAATCCGACGGGGATAGGGTAAAGCGTGGTGGAAGGTACATGAAGGTATTCCTGACAGCAGGGAAGGAGTGGAGGGCGCCGTACCCCACGACCAGCCTGAGCCAGCCCTCGCGATCGCCCAGCCCGCCACACCACACCTACGGTGAGATCCACTCGCCACACACTGGACCACACACCTTACAAAATACCCAGTTTGCTTTACGCAATAAAGTTCAAGAGACACCACTGAAAAACTGACACCAGACACTGCTTTTTTTAAAGAAACACTCTTTATTTTCAGATGTGGCTCTTAACAGTGTAATTTATCATAATATCACGATTCATATAAACTTTGCAAGGCGGCACATCCAATACCCCAAAATCTTACGATATAAGATTTCACATTGATTAGAAAATATTAATTTTCAGTCCAATCCCAAAATTAAAATCCTTTACTATAATTTTTACCTATTGTAAAGTAAAGGGTCTGATTTTCGAAATTTGTATCATAAAACGACCTGAGAGACCCTTTGCTCGTTTCGAAAAATTTGTTTGAGAATTTAAGATAATCGATGTCGTTGAAAGCTGTGCGCATGTTAACATGTGGGGGAGCTTGCAAAGAAAAGTTGAGGCGATATCCATAAGAAAATTGTTTGCACATCTGTTCGTTATCCCGGCTATATGATTTTCTTTGATTGATTTTACCTTTCTTTACTTCTTTCATATAATTATATTACGCCTGAATCATATTATGTTACGTTTATCTGGCTGGTTGTGGTATAGTTGGCCAGAAATAAGGACGCTCAAATTATTCAAAGAGCAGTTTGGGCATCAATAGGTGGTGAACGTGATCGGGAAAGAGATCGTGAATGGCGGGAATGGCGCGAGCGGTCGTGGGAGCGAGAGGGAGGCAAGCGCGGCCGTGGCCGGCAGCTCCCTCCGACGCCTACTAAGCCGTCCACGCTACATGTAAAGCAACAGCCATTCAGCAGAATTAGCCACAGCCCCTCGCACGTAAGCAAATTACCGCAGTCTATATTATGAAAATATTTAAAATGTTTAAATTTTTGTTACTGTTAATTCCATGTTAAGCTTTTATTTCTGTTATTGGTTCATACTTTAGGTACCTATCTTCCAGATTAAAAAGGTAGGCAATTATTTTATTTTCGATTACAAACGTCTTTTGAAGTGTGGTAATGTTTGACAAGCTCTGGCCGGACTGGCCATAGATTCTAAGACTAACATTATTTCACTGAATATGCGGCCTCGATGTAAGCTATTGGAAGTGAGAAGACTCCTTGTCAACAATTACTAGCAAACAAACTACAAAGAACAAGCATAGCCCAATAAAGTCACTATTTAGTCTGTGTGTATTTATAATAGCATAGATCAAAATATCTTCTGTTGATAAAGTAATTAATTCTGTTATACTCATATAAGTAGTAGGTAACTGTAATATGCAATCGCAAGCTCTGAAAATAGCCTCTAGGGAAATGTAATCTCGCCAATAGATGCGAAATTTCTCTTTTTCAGTGTGTCTAAATTTTTTTCTCTGTAATAGTTATCATTGAGGCATACTACTCGAGAACCATTAGAGCCTCTACACGACGAGTACGAGTACGGTCGAGAAGTTGAAAGACTGATACACAGAGACTATAGATCTAGAGAGAGGTGAGTTAAATTCCGCTCTATCTCATCGATATAATCTCTTTCATTAATAATTACATATGTAAATCCTTTGTCCTAAGTCTCAATGAAACCGGGCGTGAGTTCGGCAGGCGCGGATGGGGTTACGAGTCTGAGCGCAGCGGGCGCTCATACGAGGCGCCGCTGAGCTACGAGGCGGCGCTGGCGATGGGGCGTGGCGGCGGCGCGCGCGCGCTGCCCTCGCCGGCCGCACCGCGACTGCCCAACGGCTACAAGCCGCGCGCGCGACACTCCGACTCCGACGAGGACGACTGGTGCTAGCGGCGCCGCCGCGCGCGCTCCCAGCGGGACGTGCGCGCGCCGCCCGACCCCGCCCTCGCCGCGCACGCGCACACCTTCTGACGCGGCCGCCCGCGATGAACTCACTCCAGTGCTCGTGTGTCATGTCACGGACGACTCTCGCTCGCCGAATCGACGACTCTCGAACGGCCCTCCGCCGTCGAGTGTCCGAATTCTAGTATTTTACAAAGTTTTGGAAAATTTAATTTTTAATTCGCTAAAATTTTACTCCTTGATTTATATTACGGTTAAGGTTATCGAATATAAAACAGTGCCAGGCAAACTCGTTTGCGCTAGGATTTTTACATAAATGAAATTATTAGTCTGTATCGTAAAGTAAACTTTCTATATTAAATTTGCACTTCATAAAGTCTACATTATATATCGCCTGCTGAAAGGGTCCGGGCCGAGGCGTGAGCGGCCCCAGTCCGCGACCGCCGCTCGAGTCTCGCCGACTTCGTTTCATGTTCAAGTTAGACGTTGGGAGAATCTAGCATTTCATCGTCGAAACAAATTAATACTAGACATGTATAAAATATTTACATAGCGAATAATTTTTACTTACAATTAGTTAATATATACTAAATAAATAATTAAACATTTTTTATTGAATTTGCTGTCCTTCCCCCAAGTGCTTTATATCTATGTTATTTAAATTTAAATACAATTAACTAAATAAATATGAATTATATGTAAACTTTGAAGAATTTCTGCGTATTATTACTTAAATTGTTAAATCGTGTGTAGGCCAGTCAATAGGCAGCGAAGTGTTTTGTTACATTTGGCTATGACGATTGTTGTCATAACCATTTTGGGATAAAAAAATACATAGCTGATGTTAGTAATAATATAGTGCCTGCAATAATAATCGATTGACAGTCAGAATGTCCACGGGCGCAAAGTCAACCAGACCAAATGTGACAAGATGTTCTACTGACGCCCTTGACTGGATTAATAATGATAATATTGTTTATATAGATTTTGTCGCCTGGTTAAGGAGAGTACATACTATTGTTTAGATAAAGTTTAATCATCCATAGACCAAGTACATATTATATTAAAACTGTTTAAATTTTGAAAATTTTAATAGAGTATCAGCATTAAAATGTAAAAAACATCCAGATTATCTTCAAAATTGACTTAAAACTGTAGATTAATATAATTATTATTAAAAGTTGAATAAAACCTAATCCCATAGTGTTCACTGTGATTAATAAATTTATAATTCAAGATTCCATTATTAAAATAAATTTTTATTAATTAGCTCCAACAGCTTTACATTAACTATTTATCAGCAATTTCAATTAAAACTATTAACTAAATAACGATGACCAGGCACAAAATCAACACCGCCGTTGATTAAATCTCGAATTGGCTAACTACTTTGTCACGATTCGTAGATTTAACACCGTGTTGTTCAAATTCAGGCTTTTAGTTTATACAAACAATACAATTGTGACAAATTTGTCAGCCAGTTCTGATACAACCACTATGATACTACATCGTGTAATTCCACACCTGGTAAGAGTACTTTAGATCCATTGTCATATTCACCAACGCGTGATTTTACACCTCGAACGTTACTATTGCATTCCAAATACAAAGTATCCGCGGTTGTTAGACATTTTTATATTAATTGGGTACAAATTGTTTTTAAATATTTTTCTATATTTCCAAATATTTAGATATATCCAGAAAGCTTTACTTAAATCTAACTTAATTTTGAGTGTGTTTTTTGGAATATACTAGTTACGTATAAAAGTCATTTATTTGTAAAGGCAATATTCAATGTTCGAGGTTAAATCGTAAACCCATGTTACGAGGCATGCTATTATAGGTTACGTACTTAATACGACAAAATTGTAAATACATAATTTTCTGTGATAACAATTTTATGAATGAGATTTATTATTAGAACTGTGTGATTGCATAAGGAGGTTGAAGAAAAGAATTTAACTCTTAGCAAGTGTTTGTTGCAGCTAACTAAAATTTTTTGTCATTAAATTCTAATGGGTTCTTTAATGTTATGCATGTCTTGTGACTAAATTCTTTATGAATGATGATTGCATGGTTCATTTGACCAGCGAGGACTGTAGGTACAAATTTTGTAAATTGAAACTTAGTTTTTTGTATAAACCATTTGCAACGATGTGTTGCGTGAATACTTCGAAACGTTATTTGCATCTTGTGGATAGTTCACGATCAATGTCACCATCAATATTTCATTTAATACTCTTGATTCTGATATTGGTATATAGAAACGTAATACGAAGTGATTTTGCGAATTGTTGTGCACAATAAGAGTTTTACTCTTTTACTCGCAACTCGTTTTCAATAGAATTTTTATCAAAAACGAATATAACTTCTCCAATATATTATATATTTCTACTATTGTTGTCAACAGCAAAAACAGTAAGCAAGCCATATTAGTATTTACTCTTTAATGTTCTCGTTTTCTATTTTACCTACGTTGTATTTATAGTACAAATTATTATACCTACATTAAGTTATTAATTCTGCATACCTATATATTATTATAATGTTGCTATTATTTTAAGATTATTTTCAATTGGTAGAAAATGTTTAATTTTGATCAGCTTGCAATTTCTTTAGTGTACCTATCGAAACAGATAAATAATTTTTCAGATCAATATACTTTTATGATATAAATATCAAAATTATTAATTGTTCGGTTAAACTTTACTAGACGAACCACTTCAGAAATTGCAAACCTGATTCACATGATATTATTCTAGCAAAGTTATTTAGTGAATAATGAGAAGCTAATCTTTGTTTTATTTTGATCGTTCGCTACGAAACGCGTGTTTCATAAAGTATAATCTTGTTACCCCTGATCTCAGAGTCTTAGATTTCTTCTATGTAGTTTTCTCATTTAAAGTGATTGACTCATAATGAATATTTATATTGTTATTGTATAGATGTATGAATATTTTCGTTCTGTCATTTGTAATTGGGGTGTTAGGATACAATAAGCCGATGGACTTTCAATGACTGAGTGGTATTAGAGTTGCAGAGTGCGTCCTGCTTTAGTGTTCGTGATACCCTCGTAAATACATACGCATACGTGTTAAGACGTGTAAATATTGTAATATATAACGCGGCCGATATGTAGAGGTCGTATGTGAAAATGTCTAGTGATATTGTACTAGTTAATGTTAATGTTAGCTAGGTAATCTCGTCCCCAACTGTCCTTGAATTTGAGTTGGGAATTTCACTGCCTTAAAATAATAAAAAACGTTTGGTGTAATAGGTAGTTACCTTAACTACTACAGATAAGGGCATTTCAATATTCTTATACGTTTTTTATCATTCGATAACATGTAACTGTATCGATTATTCGTCTCGTCTTTCGATTTTCTATACATAATATGTTCATACACGTCTACGATTTATTTCACTCGTGTAACTCGCATGAGACAGACAAATGATATTATCACTTTTCTTAGTGCATTATAATAATTACACTTTAATAATGAATTTGTTAAATCGTTTTATTGTAATAAATTGTTATCAATAACTGTTTTAACTCATTTCGTTTTTGAGATACAGCTAGATGAGCTAGGTCACTGCGACAAATACGTACCTACTATCTAAGTGAGTCGAATCGAAGGCGTTCATTCTTTTAATGCCAAACAGGCCAAAATAAACACATTAGAATAAGATATTAATTAATAATAGTTTGCTGGATTCAATTGCTTATGGTATTTGCAATATAATGGGATATTTAGCAAGGCAGTTCCAACCAATTCGTACTGTCATGTAATCAATGTGATATATAATGTAACAGATAGACCTACTAAGTTAATGCATATATAACTAATGATACGAGCATCGTTCGCAAGTTATTTAAGAGCTCGCAATATAAAACCGCTGTGTAAAACCGTAATACTTTTAGGTAACCTGTAAAAAAAGAGCCTTTTGCTGATGTGAGGTCGCTTACGCGATCAGTTAGTTCGTTTTCAAAGCGAAGTGAGTTAAGCGTGGTGTCGGATAATATGCCTGCCTTGTATCTGTGTAAACGCTTTACCAAGGTTTAACTTTTGTATTAAATCGGTAATAATTACTGTATATTTAGCATAGAAAGTTCATCGGCGTCGAGAGTGCACCATAGAAATGTTTTTTTGGTACGAGCCAACTTTGCAGGATAGCGCATACTATTGATATTGTATTAATAAAGAACCAAAATTAAAATTAGTAATAAGTAATTTATTATCCTAAAACTAAATACTATACGCATGTTTTCACTATACCTACTGGTAAAATGGTTATGTACAATACGAAAGAGCTACTGTTTTATATATGAATTCTTGCTCGCCTGTAAAATTTTGCAGAATGGATCATATTATAAGATTGTACAATATGAATAAATGCAAAAAAGACATTTCCTCGATAACTTATGATATTTTATTTATAATTTTGGCATTCAAATAGCCAAAATTTATTTACTTACTAAACTTCCTCATTTCCTTACAAACACATTCAAATACTCGAATAGAAAAAAAACTCATAGAAAAAGCCAACGTTAATTTAATAAACTAAAAAACCCACAGTCACTTTTCAATTTTGAACAACTCAAAAAATATTTAATATTAGGTATCTGAATCAATAGCATCCGTATCGAGAGAGCTAATATCGGCGTCAGCATCACTTGTGATTTGTGCCGGATTTAAAACTCTTGCACAGTCACTTCCATTATTTCCATTCGGTACTAAAAACATTTAGAATTGATAAATAAAAACAGGCGAAATTCCTATTCTAGACTAATTTCAGGTGATTTTATCAAAATATTATCGGTTTTATATGATATACCCTAGTATGTTTCATAATTTTGTTTCTACTGGAAAACGCTGAATAGTAAAACAAAATTAGGCATCACCTTTTCACTATCACCAATTATTACCAGTATAAAAAAGTCCCATTAAAATTCATCCAGCCTTTCTCGAACGATGTTAGACTAAACAAACCGAATGATAAAAAAAAGTATAAAAAAAATATTTCTTATTCATTTTCACATTATTCTATTAGCGCAATGTTTTGAAAAAAAAATATATTTTAATACAACTTATGTTTTCATACAATAAAAAAAAAAAGTAAATATTTTACCTTCATTTGTATGCATGGAGTTTAGTTCTGTTATATTTATGGCAGGAACAATTAACGGCTGATACGTCGTAACTGCCGAAGGATCAATTAATACTGCCTGCAAAAAAATTGGCTGTAATTTCTTTGCATATTTCACAATTTTAAAATTATAATTTTTTTTTAATCATTTTCGCACCATCGAAATATTTATAGTTAAAAAGCCTCAAAAATGTTCACAAATAATTATTTAACAACTTTTGCGCTGCGGCCTAAAATAAATTTAAGAAAATAAATGGACCACACTTTCGTTAACAGTTTAGTATTTCGAAATAGAAATTGCTGTTTATAAAGAATGTACATATAACATCGATCAAAAAAGCACTAGATACACAATCAGCGATCAAAAATTTCTTTGCCGAATGAGCGCTCATTTGAACATTTGAGCGCGCTTTAAATATTTTTTTCTGATAACTACTTTAAGCCTGTCATTTAAGTTTCAATTTACATTGTTGTATATTTATTTCAACTGGTAGCATTACCTAAATAAACACAATTGGTGACACTTTAAAGAGAACTTTTACATGGGGTTGTGTATCTAGTACTTTTTTGCTCAATGAAACATAACGCTTTTATCTTATTCAATATTTTACCTCATTTTCCGGCCCAGATGAAGCTGTGGAACTCAGAGACGTTCCTCTCCCCGAACTGTCTTGGGAATTATCGCTATGGATTCCTTTACCGTCTCCCGCGCCTGACGTCACCCTAACACCTGGCTCCATCACATTACCGTTAACATCAAACATTGTTTCCTCCAATGGCTCATCTATCGTTTCCAATTCTTCAATCTGAATTTTATTAGTTTAGTTAAAAATTAATAAATAAAATAAAATAATTTTAATAAAAAATAACAATTTATATATTTTTTAAATTGAATGTGATTTTTAAAAGGTTATATAAATATTAAAGGATTAAGTTTATCAGTATCTAATATAGTGATACATATTATTTTAATTGTACTAATAAAATGAGTAGAAAAATGAAAAAAAAAAAGTGGAAAAATAAAATTCTAACTGAGTCAAATTTGTACATTAAATATTTTTTAGAAAATCTTATTGAAATTGTCATTATATCGATACAAAGGCCGAATCTATAGTTTTTGGATTTTTTCTGTCTGTCTGAGAACGCGTCACTCGTGATCTCTCGTCTCAAAATCAAATTCTCTCCAATGATCGAGATCATTGGAGAGAATTTGATTAAATTTGGTATGATTATAGCTGGTTATCTGGGTCAACATATAAGATAATTTTTACTGCAGAAAAATATCTCATCTCTGAGAAATCTATACTAACCTTAAAACGTACTTAAGATCGTCCTCGTCCTCGGGTTCGTACCCGAGCGGAGTAAAGGTGAGTCGCTAGTATAACTTAAATAACGAAAAGCAGAAAAGAAGGTAAAGGGGGGACAGATGCCAATGGATTTTTAAAGATCAAATTTTTGTGATAATATATAAAGGTCAGGTCCAAAGTCTGAGAAATCCCACCGAATGTGATGACATATAAAACAAAATGCGTTTGGCACTCTATCATTCGATATAGCGTGAGTACCTATAGTGGCATGATGTGTATGTTGAGGTACAGTAATTATATTACCGATTGTTGTTGACTTATAACACTGAATAACCAGTTAGGTACATAAGTTTCATCATCAATAAAACATGATTCGTAAGTATCAGAGGATCGGCCAGATACGTATAATTCCTCCGAAGCCTGTAAAAGATTCAATCCTATGTAAATATACCTATAATTTGGTAGGAATAGGGTAAACGACTTTTAGAGCAATATCTTTACCGTAAGTCTTGCAGAATGTAAAGCGAGGCTACCAGTTTCTGAATCTATTAAGTTTATGTTATCGCCAACGAATTGTTCGGCGTTTACTGAAAATCCGCTAAAAGCTTCTAAAATTCCATTTATATTCTGTGATAAAGATAATCATAATATTAATAAATATATTAATTATGTTACGTACGTATAAAAAATACTTGTACGGTCAATTTATTAAATAAACTTTTACAAAAATTGGTTTAAAATAGGTACAGATATCGACGACATAACAAATGAACTCAATATGAGAATCTCTTCTTATCGAAGTCCGTAAAAAGAGAACTATTAATGCCAAGGACAAAACAAATACCTATTTCCCACAAACTTAAAAACTTACAAAACTTTTGTTTTGATCCTTTCGCTCAAAAATATCTTGAACTGAACTCTCTTCCAACGGATGATCGCTTTGTGGCAGCAAAGTGTTATCAAGTTCATTATCCGCTAAATAATAATCTGAAAATTTTGAATTAGATGTCGAAGCGACAGACATAAATGAGACGGAATCTAATTCTTTGACAGATGCTTTCACACTTGAAAAACTCGTCAGTGATTCCTTTTCATTCGAAGTGACGGGCGCAGCAAAGGAGCTTTCCACTTCACTTTCAGATTTATAGATATCTTCATTAGTAACAACTGTTTTAATACTAATAGGCGATAAGCTACTGTTAAAGCTTCTATTAAGTTCATCTCTATTTAGAATCACTGTTTCGGAATTTGAAATGAGGCTATTCTTAGAATTAGAGTCGGCAACTTGTAATTTATCCTCAAGCAATCTTCTAATAACAGACATTATACTACTCGTAGTTTCATGAACAGACTCTTTTGGAGTTTTGGATAAATCATTGCCTATTTTATCATCTTCATCATTTATTTCACTATTATTATTAAGTGATAGATTATCATACGACTTCAATTCATCAACACTATCATTTGCATCTGACATAGATGTGTTGACGCTTTCATTTTCAAAATTATTACTATGTTGATTGGACAAAAGTATATTCGAATTAGTTAAATCAGTTATTTTCTGATCTTTCTTATCAATATTTTTTAAATTAAGAGGATTCGCAGATTTTAGAGAAGTTTTTTTACATTTTTTTGTAGAAGAAGTTTGTATAGTACTTTCATTAGTATGCACCATAAACAAGTTTTTACTTTTGCTGAACACACTTTTACTCGAATTTGAAATGGTCTTGCCAACATTAGCACTTATGTTTTTTGAAGATTGTGGAATATTCTCCTTGTTACTACAAATCAAAGGTGACTTTTTATTTACTCTGCCACGTTTAGAGTACTTATATTTTGAAGAAATATTTTCCGATTTTAATCCTGAGTGTTTTTCCTCTGATAAAGTATCTTTTTGGTTAGATATAATACTGTGTCCACCCACTTTTATAGCACGTACAGTTGCCACACTATTAGGCGACGAACAAGTAGAGCTATTTTGTGATTGTGAACTACAACTAGTTTTTATTTCAGTACTAGCCTGTCCTGGGGACAATGTCAAATTTTTGGCAACATTATATTCTGTTTCTACTGCATTTTGAAATATAACATAATCAAAATTGTTATGCATATTGTCTGGTATTTTTGATAAATCTTTGGCGATTTCTACAGGGTTTGTTTTAAAAATGATATTTTTTATATTCTTATCTATTGCAGTTTTTACTTTCTTTGCGTTATCATTCTCGTTATTTATTTTTTTTATTTTTCTCCTTAAGTAAAGTGGCAAATAATTTTTGATGTTGCCTTTACTTGTTTCAACTTCATTTTTTGGAGTGGTATTATAGTGTATTACTTTTTTAGTACCAAACGATTTAATACTTTTCGATCTATGTGTTCTGTAAGATTAAAAACATTTAGTCATATCACTAATAATTTGAACGTTAGCAATATTATGCAATTATTATTATCTTACCTCATATTGATTTTTGAAACTACCTAAAATACATAATACAGTAATTAATTTTTTTAAATATTTTAATATAAAAATGAATTAAGTACATAAAAATAAAAGAACTGCGGTATAAACTCACCCTTGTCATATTTTTATTAGTTCTTATCGTATTTTGGATTCTTGGAACCGTTTTCTTCTTCTGATCTATACTCTTGAATTCCTTGTTCATACTACTATTTTCTTTAACGCTAACTGGTGGTGATCTTTGGGGAAAACGTTTACTTTCGTTGGAAGGAAAATTCCCTGTTGGGGTATCTGTTTTATAAGTTTGTTTTTTCTTTGGTATTATTTTTTTCTTTCTTTTAGCCAATTCACTAGATTGTTTCTTAGCAATACTTTTAGGAGCTCTTTGCCATCCACCCTGATATACTACATCTTCTGACACCATTTTGTCTTTAAAACTATGTACATATATTCCACCGCAAACTAATTTACGTGAAAGGTTCTTTCTTAGAAATGCTCTTGGTACGCTTTTATTCGTTACACACTGAATTTGTGATCCACTAGTATTCTTCGATGAACTAGCAACTAACGACTTCTGTAAACTTCCTACACTGCCATAAAATTCGGAGTCTGAGTCTTCAATTTTTGGTGACATTCGCTTTACAAGTTTAGTTTCTATGAAATCTTTACCAGTTGATACATTTTCTGGTGATAGTGCGATTGAAAAGTCATTCTTATCTCGAAGACTAACATCTGAATCCCTAATTTTTATTCCTATACTTCTGGATACAGCAATAGAATTATTGTAGTCCGTAGACATACCAAAGTCACACGTTTTTTTAGTAACTGGGATGTTGTCACATGAGTCCTGAATTTTTATTCCATTAAAAAACAATTTTGGTGTTCTCGTCAGCGACAACACGGGCGACAGGGCACAAGTCAAAGAAATATCAGGACCACATTGAACATCCGTGCTTATATTACGGATACCCTTGGAGGTGCTTGGCTCATTTATATCTAAAAAAAATATGTTTTATTCGAATATCTCTTTTAATTTCTAATATCATGCTAATTAATAAATTAATATTATTTATGATTGTTAATCGTTTTACTTTAAATAAATTTCTAATAATGTAATTTTATTTGGACACAGTGCAAAAGCTATCTCTTTAGAAAGTATTTAAAAAGAGTTCTTATCAAAAATATATTATTTTACCGTAAATAAATATCGTTTGGGATTGGACATTCTCTGCGCTCACAGACCGCTTGCAATTAAAACTCTCGTCTTTTGTTATATTAATAACTGTTTCTGATATTGTTTCTATATCAATATCACAATTAGCTTCCGGATCGGTACCTATATTACGGCGTAAAGGTATACTTTCTTCACCGCTCTCTGTTATTATAGATATAAATAAACAATTATCCGTAGTAGATATATTATTAAAATTACTATTTGTATCATTCAAAATTCCACTATTTGGCGTAATATCCTGAAAGTCTTTGATTTGATTTTGGTCCACATTACAAAGGTTTATCAAACTATCTGGGATCTAGAAAAAATAATAAATTAATCAATAATACTTCTCATACTTTGGTACTAATAAACTTTAGTATGATTTTCGTACCGGCTTAGATAATTTCGACTGTAGCATTTTATGTCCCATTAATTTTTTCTTTATTTTACTTGCGCTCTCGACACTTGTAGTTGTTTTAAGTTTAACAATATTTTTCATAGATCTTTTGCCAGCAATTTTTTTACTGTGCTTAGATTTCTTAGATTTCATTTTAAGAGTAGGCACGTTCGGTATAATTCTATTCTTCGTTTTTTGAATTAAATCTTCTGAAGATGCATAACATTTATTTATTTCAGTGATTTCCTTTGGGAGTTTCGCTAAATCATTTGTTTGATCATTCAAGGACATATTTTCAGTATTGAAATCTAATTTCTTATTAGTTATGTCTTCATTGTTTACATTAAGTAATGGATCATTATTTAAAACGATTGGAATAAAATCTGATTGTAAAGTGTTCAAATCTACATTATCAGATTGATTTACTGATAACGTGTCTTCTTGTATTACAACAGCAGTAAGATTATTTTCATCCTGATTATAGTCTGAAAGGCAATTATCTTAAAATAGGCTGTTGATACGAATTTATAGCACATTTTTCTTAATATAAGTAAAATCTAATATACCTTTAATTTCTTTACCAGTAACGCTACTACCATCATCGAATTCTAATTCCAATATTTTATTGTCTTGAAAATCTTGGGACTCAATTAAATCTAAAAAATAGTAAAAACTTAAGTGGGGGAGATGTGGGGGGGGGGTTATGTTTGGGGGAGGGGGGGGGGTTCTCTTTGTGGATCTTATATTAATCCTGATCCAAGTAAATAGTTTCATAATGAAGGTTGACTGACACTGTATTCTAATTGGACCTTTCGTTTAGATTACGTCAAACATGCCTAGAGTCGCGCATCTGTGCGAAGCGAGGATTATATAAGTCTAGGTAAAAAAAGGTCTAAAATGGTTCTATATATTTCCTACCTGTCTACTTGACATTACAACTAGGTGTGCTTTAACAGTAGGTATTTAATGAAAAATTGTACCTGGTGGTGAAATAAAGTGATGATATTTAGCCATTATATCTTCACTGCAAAAATAAAATACTTTAATATAAACTCCTTTAAAATAGTAAAAGCAAAAGCGTTCAAAAATAAAATGCTTACCTTGTATTTTTTGTATCTCCAGTAACATTTACAATTTGTTTATTATCTTCTTTATCTGTAACTTATTTTTAATCGATGATAAAAGAAAAATAAAAACACTAACAAACTATCTGAGATTATTCAAATATTTTCATTATACTCGTAATGTTTTATGTAAAACTAGCGACTGACATTCGCATCGCTCGGGTGCTACGTTTTATTTTTTTTCAGCGTAACTCTTTATTCCAGAACCCTAATTGTTTTTTCTATAATAAATATAGCCTAAGTTACTCCTTATAATAGCAGCTGCAAGTAAAAGTCCCGTCAAAATCACAGCCGTTTCGGAGATTAGTCGGAACAAACAGACAGACAGGCAAAAACTGTGTATTTCTTATAAGTGCTGTATATAATTTCATATGTATTTAGTAAAAAGCTGTTATTTTGACATTACAAACAGACACTTCAATTTTATTTATTTGTATAGATGTAAATTGATAATATCCGAGACTAACTTTTAATGTAATGTTTTTAACAATTTCAAACAAGTAGAACCTACACCAGAAGTTTGTAATGCAACTTGCCAAAGTTTCCGCCCATTGGTATAAATAGAAAAACTTATAGGTAGTTTTAAGAACTACAAATTATTCTTACAATACTCAATAGCCTTTAACGCGTAGTTCTCAAAATAGTGTCGTCTCCTTCTTTCAATGGCCTTCTCCGTAAGAGAGAGCAAGTCAAACAGCTTTTGCTGCATCCAGCTCGTCGGTGGAGGGCTTTGTTGCCCTTTACTAGTATAAAGCGCGAGCTTCATTAATCGGCACACAATATGATCTAGTTCAGTAGCAATATTTTCGTCTGTAATCGAACTTATTCTGCGAATTTTTTGATCGAGCACGCGATGGAGACATCGACCTAAAATAATTTTTAAATTTGAAGAAATAAAATAATAATATAAAATATAGTAAAAGAATAAATAGAAATGCAGTTTTATTGTAATGCGTTAAACATTAATATTGCTTATTATTTTAACTAAATATTAAAAGATAATTTTAAGAAATAAACAACAAATACACAGAAACAGGGCAGATTAAAAAAAAAATTTGCAAACCATAATATAAATCCGGTGCAATCGTGCTACCATCTGAGAGTGTGGAACGTAGATCTGTGGTATCCCACTGTAAAGGTGAATGTAGATTTAAGTAAATTAAAATTGCTTTACTTTGTATATTATAACAAAACCAAATAAATATGTTTCATATAACATATAGTATGGTATTTTCCAACCAAGAAATTCTTGTTAACAACCCAGAATAAGGACATAAGTTATATTACATCTCAGCTTTCATACTGCAACTATTTCTCTCCCTTTCCGCTCCTATGAGAGTAAGGAAGCAGAGTAGGTACGCCAATATAGTTAGGCAAATTACGCACTAAACTTTGTGTTTATTATTATAACTCGCGTCGTCTAAAAAGAACGCTGGCTGTCAAGCTGCGCAGAAGCAATTTATCGGTCAAATTGGTGGTAAGAAGCGGGGTGCGGGACGGCTCGGGGCGGCGGGGCACGCGCCGCATGCTTGCCGGCGCGCTATTGGTTCGTCAGTTCGAAATACCATCGCGCACACAAAAGCTTTTAATTACGAAATGGTTTTATATATAGAAAAGAGAAAAATTGTTTCTGACGTATATTGTTTTACAAAGAGAGCCTAATAATAATGCAGTTAATAATTAAAAAAAATGTATTAAACGTATTAATTTAATTTTTTGTAAGTACATTAAACATTCTGCACTGAATCAAACATATTTTAACAAAGAATAGAATTCTATTTAATGATATTCTATCTAATATATTTTTCAATGTCCCTACCAATAACTAATATATGAAGCCGCGAGCGAAATGCTATGAAAAATAAAATAATAGGCTTAGTACTTTTGTGCACGAGTATACCCATGCGCGCAAACATACCCTCTCCACTTTCTTCCAGCGTTCTTTTTAGATGACGCGAGTTATAGCATTATTTCAAATATTGTGGGTTCGATTTCTTTTATCGAGAGAAAGTACTTGTAATAAGTCTACTTGAATAAAGTGTATTTAAGTAATTGTTATTTTAGTAGTAGATTATTAAGGAAATTAATGGAACAAGGAAAATGGTGAGGGAAAAAATATGCATTATGAAGTTCTAAATAGTTATGTACATACATATATATCGTTGACTGGTATTAAAAAAAATAATAAAAATATATTTCTTAGTATAAGAAATTTAATTACATAATAGACATTGCTACAACATTTTTTCTTAGAAATATTTAAATGAGCCAATAACTATATTATAAGTAAAATGGCTTGGCCTTATCTAATGCACTACCCTTAAGTAATTAATGAATAATTTAACTTACTTAAAATATTTAAACATTAATCTTAAAATAAGATAAAAATATATTAACAGTTTTAATTTGAAACAATGAAGTAAAATATATCACATCAGTCATTTATGATCAGTCTTTGTTATGGCTGTATAGTGTTAAGTATTACAAAGAAAAAAAATGACTATCCCGTACAGCTATTCGAAAATATTTCTAGCGAAAAGTTTTTAGCTATCTTTTTCTAGCTTTATAAATAAAATCCTCTGAATTTCCCATATTTCTGAACATTTACGTAATTTCTCAAAATAAATTTTGTAATATATGATAAAATTTACATAATAGTAATATAAATTATAGGCGAAGGAGTGATTCAAATATATTTCTTTAATGTAATTGTGAGTATCGACTTAGTCGACACTTTACTGACTAGGTAGGTATTTTTGAATAAAACTATCTTATCGGATTTTCCTGCGGATTTATTTTGATTTTTGGTTTCCGACGTTTCGAAAGGAATAGGAATATAATTTTTCGGGAGAGACCCTCTCCCGTGATCAGGACTGCTGTAAAGTATTCGAAACTATGGGAACCAAAAATCAAAATAAATCCGCGAAAAAACCCGAAAATATAGTTTTATTTAAAAATGTCAAATATTCGCGTAAATTAAAGAAGTGTTAGGTATTTTTTTCTTTTTAACTAAAATCTATTTAAAACAAAACATCCCAAAATCGAACTGTAACAAATTAAATATTGTTTTATAATTTTATTTTTTAAATGCTAAATTTTTGTCACACAGTAAACTTGCATGTATTTCTTTTAATTTACCCGATTAATACAAAATTAAAAACCATCAAACTACAATTAATTACAATTATTATTTAATAGATTACATGAAAATACCTACATATGTAGTCCTAGTACGCACACAATACAATAAAACATGACGGCTGAAGTAAACGTTAGATAATGTATAAATAAATGTTTATACACAGAAGAATTATATATATAAAGATGTATAGTAATAATAATTTTTGTTAATATTGTTGGAATTTATATTTTACTTTTGTTTGTTGTTGTGAATTCTAACAACAATGTAGATACGCAATTAATACAACAACTAATGAACAAATTCAAAGTGATTGTTTACGTCAGATACAGTGTTGGTGTCTTGCCAGTCGTCTTGCGGGTCAGATATGTTGTCTAGCGCCTGGCGGGAATATATGAGTTTATCGCCTACAATCTCGTAGCCGTTCCATTCCAAAAGTTCTCTAAAAATGAATTACAATATTAAGGTAAGAATTGCACCACTTCAATAAAGAAGTTGACACCAAAAAATTTGTGCTACACAATCAAAATTCATTGGTTTACTTTGTCAAATGCCTTTGAGGATTTAGTTAGTTAATTAGTTATACAATTTACACATTTATTTGGTCGCCTTCTTCAACCACTCTCATAATTTCATTAATATGGGTTTATAAAAAGATCATAAGATCATGAGAGAAGATCAGATCAGTATTAGTTAATATACCATTTTTGGGAATAAAATATAAATAATCAAAATAGTATTATATTATATTTTTTAAGCATTAACACTCTTCCCCTTAAAAGAAATCATAATATAAGCTTTTTCCCCCCTTTATTATAATAGTAAATATAAAAAAATCGCTTGCTATTTTTATTTATAAACATTATTTACTTATTATTCAGTATAAAAATTATTATTTATATACTGTTTTAAAACATTATTATTTGACTTCATGTTTAGTTCTAAGACACTGCCATATTATTCCTTAACCTGATAAAAAAATAAAGATTCCAAATTACTTACTTAACCCTGTCCACATCAATTGTAATATGATCCACAACTTCCATTAAACGATCGATATGTATTTGTAGGGTGCGTGTGTCCAGTGAGAATTCATCATATTCATTGTCTATAATGTTATTTATTTCTTCAGATATCGCATCCATTATCCGACAATCTTCTGATTTTACCTACATTTTAATGTCATATTATGTAAACTATATTTATAATTCTTATCCCTATATCCATACATAGTAGGTAAATATTATAATACATACATAGCTATCCGTCTAGCTATTCCGTTAATGACCATTCCTGTTGTAAGAATTCCAAACCCATAAACATAATACAAAAACAATATAATGAGCTTTCAACAGCCTTGGTGATCTAGTGATTAGCATGTACGGCCGCAGAACCGGAAGTCCTGGGTTCGAGTCCAAGATCGGGCCAAGTTCAGTTATTGAGTATTTCTGTCAAAGAAATTCTCAGTAATAGCCCGGATTTGGGTAGTTGACGATGTGTCACCCCCGTGCCTCAGAGAGCACGTAAAGATGGCGGACTTGCGATTTAATTCTAACCGGTCGTTTTGAAGTATCATTATATTGGACTTTGAGAGTAAAAGGAATAGAGAGTGCGCTTGTGTCTGCACGTACACTTGTGTAAAATACACTTGTGTCATGTTGAGTCAAAGGTTTTAAGTAATTAGCTGTTAGTAGTTAGTAGCTCTCATACAATTCCAGGATTGATTAAAAATCTAGCACATCCATGAATTTACACATAATATTTTAAGTTATTTAAGCAACGGTTTAAAATAAACTAGTGAATCACCCTCGCTTCGGGTTTGTCCCTAGGTATGTTTTAATGATTAGTTTGAAATACAAGTCTTTGAATTTCTCGGCTTTTCTATACTATAATGTACATGTATTATATATACAAACCTTCCTCTTGATTCACTCGATCTATTACTGAAAACTGCATTAAAATCCGTTGAGTAGTTTAAAAGATCTAAGCGTACAGACAGCAGAATCAACTTCATTTCATACTATGTAAAGAGCATTTTATATTTAAAAAAAAACCCACCCCACTCACCTCAAAAGGATAACTATATTCTCTCACAACTCTGTAATACTGATTCCAATATGGAGCATTCTCCCCCCAATTGATATTATACCAGACGTGTCCGTTTAGGAGTTCTTTATTTTTGGTATCCTTATTAAAATTGAGCATTTTAGTCAAATGGCGGATTTCATCGACGACTTCGCGGGTGTGGGCGAAGGGGTCCATTTTATTTTTAGCAAGTAAGTTTTGCGTGGCCTTAGAAAATTTCTTCACTTGTAATGTTGAACAATTTAGCCTAAAATCAAAAAACATATTGGAATAATTTGCAAAAATTTAAAATCTTATCAATATTCATATTAGTACATAAAGTTATACCAATAATAATAATTTTATGATTTTTTAAGAAAAATTAAAGCAAACACAGAGCTTTCATTTCTAAACCATTCGCCATGAAAATGAGTATGTATTTTTTGACAACCCTTGCATTTGGCAGCATTTTTGTTAATATCAATGATTGCTACTGTATGAAATTTAATACCATGCTAACTCTGACTAACAGAAAATCTAAGAAATATAAGGTGACATGTAGTTTAAAATTAACATGTTTATCTAATTTATAGAATAATAATTAAACTCTACATCCATCTAATTGACTACACAATGACATCCAAAAAACATTACTTAAGTAAATAATGCACACTTATCAAATCAAATAATACTCTACTAAAATAGACTTTTACAAGCACTTTTGAATCTTTACTTTTTACATTTTCAATATTTAAATTAAATGTCAATATGCAAGTCCGTGAGGAAACTACCATATCAAATGCTCATGACGAGAAATAATTTACAATATAATGTAAATATATCTTAAATGTTATCTTCAGCACACCTTCTAGCAACATCTTCTATCATATACACTCTATTTACCCTTTTCCTTCTGGGTATTAAAATATTATAATACATTTCATCGTCAAACATGAGGAAATTCTTTCCATATTCAAAATCCATATTGCATTGTGAAATTTTATCTTTATATTCCATTGTTTCCAAAGAAAACGAGGGAGATGTCAGAATGATTGTCATGAACGATTGTTGCTTTAACACAAGCTCTGTGTAAGATTCCATACTAACAAGGAAAGATAATTTTATAGTATTCTAATGGTACGGTTTCTTAGAGACATAGTGCAATATATATTTAAAATATGTCAACCAATTTATGTGAGCTAATATAATATTCTTTTTGCACTTACAAATAAATACAGTAATTAATGGTAAATAAAGGTCGATAATAAGTAACCTAGAACCTCTGGCCTGTAAAATTTTTCTGTCATGGCAATTTCTGCTATGTTGTTGTGTTAAAAAAGCGCAAAGAAACAAACAAACACATACTTACTTTCCTATAAAAATGATAAAATAAAATAACTTCTTGTAAAAAATGTATTTATGAATAAAATATATAAAAATATACATAGTTAAGAGATATAATTTCAATTATTTACTACTGCAAATAAGTGAGGGTGTCCAAAAATTGTTATATTTTTCAGTTAAGATTAGTTTTCAAGTTCAATCTGTCCGGAAAACAAAATGTAGTTATATTGAATACATTTTAACTTATATTTGTTTACTTTTCTTGTCTTTATTTCACTAGAAATATAACTGTTACCCATTGTTCCATTCAAACTTAAATAAAACATACCTATTTTCAATGCATAGCATATTATTATCACCAATAGTGTGTGGACTTTCCCAACCGTCTATATTGACAAGACTAGCTGGACTGGGTTGCTCTGAAAATATAACAAAAAAACTTTTTTTTTATTTCATCCAATTATGAGATTTTTATGATTTCATACATTAAATCTAAATCGCTAATAAGCAAATTTAAAATATTCTTTTTTTAAATTGCATAAGAACAGTGGTAGCCCAGTTGTAACGGGCTAGTTTGGTATAACGAGTAATGCGGGTACAAATCCCGGGTCTCACCTTGCACCTCTGATATTTTCATGTGCGAATCATTTTCAACATGATTACCACTCGTCTTAAAGTGAAGGAAAACATCATGACAAAACCTGCATGTCTGAGTGAACCAAGCAAGTTTTCGGAAGACATGTGAAGTGCACTAACCTACACTTAGCCAGCGTGCTGGACTATGACCTGATCTCTCTCGTATTGGAAGGGAGGCCCGATTTTTTTCAACTTATGATTATATCATTTTAATAATAAAAATATAAAACATTACTTTATAAAACTTACTCGCAAGTAAAGCCAAACTATTTAAATTTAGATCTGGTTGTTTTTGGTATTCTTTAGCAACAAAAAGTGCAAGTTGGCTACAGCATCCCAGGTGAAGAGTTCCAGCTGGTCCAGGCCCAATACCTTTGCATGTTACTGTGTATTGTGGATATCGCATGACTATGTTACTACACCTGGAAACAACATTTAGAACTGCAAATAATATAAGTAAGCTATATTAATATATTTACATATCGAACTTCAAAATTATCATAACTATAGAAAAATGACTTTACCTGTGTGGTAACATTATGTTACTAATGGATAGTTTAGTTTTAAAACTTGAATAATTTTTAGAATTGGTTCAGTAGACCAACAAATAAAATTTTACCTCTTTACAATAGCATTAATTTTTATTATTTGTAAATAAAATTAAATCATTTTATCAAAAAAGGGCCTATTTTTACCAATCATTAAATTGTTCTCTACTCCATTCAAAGAAATGATCCAGTCTTCTGAGACCATTTTTCTCTAATGCTTTAAATAGCACATTGAAATCTCCATTAGGTGTAGTAATAACAGCTACCCTTGGCTTAATAAAACCAAATACTGTGTGAACAAATCTTTCTAAATCATGTGGAAGCATGTGTTCTATCATCTCAATGGCCACCACTGCATCAGTCCCTATTAAACGGTAGTCTGGGTCGGCTGCATTCCCTTGAAATAACTATAATATTGTCTTAGATTAGCAATATTATTATAATTTGTATATATTATTAAAAAAGGTTTGTATTAGTCTAAAAATATATTAAAACTCTAAGGGAATTATATATATATATATATATATATATATATATATATATATATATATTAAAATAATAATTGCCATTATACTCACAGTGACTTCTAATGGAGTTTCTCTCTTTGGAATATATTGATCAGATTCAAGTAGATTGGATGAACAACGGAGTGGTATAATTTCAAGATCAACACCGAGAATATGTTTAACTCCAGGTATATCTTTTAGGTACTTTATGAAACTCATGTCATTATAGCCAAAGTCTACTACCTAGTCATAGGAAATACAATAAGTTGAGAATATAATTTAATCAATCATATCTACTTATAAAATTTTCTAGTATATTTATATGCTCGGAATACCTTTTCCAATTTGCCACACCAACGTTCGTCCATAAGACAATCCGTAACCGCCGCATATCTTTGTGCATACACTGGTGGATAAAACACAACACCTCTTTCATCGTCATAGTCCGCAAAAACATGATCATCGGAGTCATCATCATTAAAGTCTTCGTCTTTGAATTGCAAAGTTAATCTTTTAAAATACGGTCTAATAAAACGATCGATTGCAGTGAAAAGTGACTCGCGAAAGAATATCAAAGTCTGCAACGCAATTATCATTGTTACGGATGGGACTGAACATTTAAATATTCAAATTATCTCCAAAGAAAAGCAGACGATAACAACATGATGTTCACATGTTTACCGGTGTTCTTTAATGTTCTATATTTTTGTTTTCTTTTTATCAGAGCAGTAACTGTCAACATTATTGGCTCAATAATGTCACTCTGTAATACAGAGTAAAAATATTGCATAAAAATTGTAGATTTCAACCAGATATAAAATGGCTTATGGCCCTCTTAAATATCTCATTAAAAATATATTTTTTAACAGAGCTTTTACCTACCTTACCTGATTGTGAACACGGTTATGAGATATCAAATAATAAGTTAGAAGAAAAATACCTTTTCTTAAATGATAAACGTGAGACTTAACACAATTTTCTACACACAACTTTAAAGTTAACAAACACGAAGAGAAATTTATTACAGTGAAACTTCTTTAGAATAGTTGTGATTTGAAACTCGATGAAACGAAAATACGACACGAGAAAGAGACAAACGCAAAAATATATAGAATTAAGCCAGCGAGAGAATGAGATAGAATACATTACACAAGCAGTGAAAAATAATAAAATTAATTACTGAATACTAAGTAATGTATATTTATGTCAAATAAAATGTAAAATAACTTTTTAAACTTGGTAAAAATGTTTAAAAAATAATAAACCTGATAATTATTATATCCTACTCCTGATACTCTATAATCATCTCAATCTTTCGTAGGTTACCTACTATTCTGAAGTTTCACTTCATGGACCAGGAACAACAATAATATTTCACCTCTACCATGTGTGAATCGCACATGCACACGCCTTTTAATTTTATTTTCAAGTCACAATTTTCCGTCGTGAGTTGTTCAAATTTTTAATTTATATTTTACTTAATTATCTTTTTAGTCAGGGTCAATTAATTATACGAGTATATATGTCTCTCAATTTGTAAATACTGTGCCAAACGCTGAAAATAGTTATAGGGAGTGAAAAAGATGATGATTATGCCATCTGCTGGGAAAAAAACACAAACAAAGTGATGATAAACAGTATTAGTTTTGCATTACTAGCATTTTAAGACCTCCAGGTAAATTTCTAAGAAATTAATTAAAATTCTAAGAAATCTATTATTAACTGATAGTGTGTCCGCGGTTGTGGAGGGATTAATAAATTATTTTTTGTTAATTAAAATAAGTGTTTGTGATGTCTTCATCAAAAGTATCTTGCTGTATTCGTGGCTGTTCTAATATGCCGTATAAAAATAAATACACCGTTGAAATTTTATCGTTTCCCCGAAAGTCAATCGAATACTGCGTGGATAATCTTCAAAGTTCAAACGTCGAAAATGGATAAACGCAGTATAAAACCACGTGTAAGTAAAGTCTCCTCATTATAATTTTTTTATTAATTTTAATTATTATTTTGAGTAAAATCAATATGATACTGCAGTTGGCAGGTATTAGACAATTTCTAAATTTTTTTTCCATAGGCAAGTAATAAAAGATTATTATCGAGAGAATATTTTTATAATATAAAACAAAAAGCTTATTATTTGTACTTCGACATTTTTAACCCCTCAACTGTCGCTGTCATTTTACAAAAATATGGCGCATCTGTCGGCTATTTTTCGAGGGCCTGCGCGAAATATGTACGCATCATTAAAATAACAATATTTATTAAAATTTTATATATAAGCTATATATAAAGCTTATATCGTTAGAATCGTTTTAAAATAAACTAAGAATACATATATAAATAAGATCAATTGTATTTAATATTATATAGTTAATTCTAAGTTGAAATTACTGTAAGTGATTTTTTATCAGTATATAGTATTAAAACAGGAATTATTATAAAATAAAACTATTATTTTAAAAACTTTTAATTTCATTTAATTATAGATACAATATTTTATATTAATTGATTAAAACAACACAACTCACTGTACATTTTTTTTACACCACAAGCTTAACAATAACATGTTTCAATTATGGCGACTTAGCGCCGGATAAAAAAGAGGTGTTTTTTATACTTGAATTCTAAGAGCATTGAAGATCAAGAGATTTAGGATAATCATTTATATTATAGTTTAGTCCACGTACGTTATACTGACAAAGTTTGAGTTCTTATAACTATTTAATTTACGAGAATTGAACAATAAACCAAACACTAGAAAATAAGTGCTAAAAAATGTCATCTCAAACTTTGGATCGCAGAGCAAATTCTGTTTAAATTTTCTTTAAAATATATTTACACCTTACAATTAAGTGATATTTTAAAATGAAAAATAGAATAAAAAGACATGTTGCCGTATTAGAATATTTCAGAAATCAATTCTGTAAACTAACAATTTTACTATAAGAATTACAAGGGACAGCTAAAAAAGTATGGATACGACCAATTCCATCACATCTGAACAGATTATGTTATGGAAATAAAATGATAATAAAACATCAATTAAAATTAAACAACTTCAAATATTAATTCGGACAGGAATTATTTTTTTTCTACTGTTTTTAACCTCCGACGCAAAAACTACGGGGAGTTATTTGTTTGACGTGCTGTGTGTTGTGTGTGTGTCTGTCTGTGGTATGGTAGCTCCCGAAGAGATCATCCGATTTTGTTTTTGTTTTTTCTCTGAAAGGTGAATAATTCGGAAGTGTTCTTAGTTATGTTTGATGAAAATCGGTCCAAGATGGCCGCCGCCACAAAATAGCGGATTACATATTTTTTCACAACTCCCTCAATATGGGTATCAAATGAATTAGGCTTGACTAGTATAATTTTCGAATCCAAGATGGTCGCCACCACAAAATGGTGAATTACATGTCGGGGTTACTTTTAAATTTTTCATTTATATTTTATAAGATTGAAGTATTGTGCCAGTTACTGTATTGAGTATTTGATGGACTCCATAGTTATAGTAGTAAAAAAAATATAGTAGAGTATAAAAACTTTGTAATTAGTACTCACAGATGTTTTAAATCTGAAGTACAAAATTTTGGATGCCTTTTGTTAGGTAAAGGACACTTTTTAATGAATATTGCTTGCAGGTAGAGGCTTTTATACATATTTATTTTAAATGAAAAAAAAAAGATGAACACCTATCCTAAAAGCAACAAATACTTATTATTACTAAGTAAAGATACATAAGTAACTATACTAACCTCCTCCCATATAATGTTCACCACGTCTTCGATGTTCAGTCACGTCGTCGAAACGAACAAAGGCGTGGTATAATATATAAATCAGATATTTTCGAAGTCAGTTCCAGCCGATGCAAAGTAAATCTAATATATTTCGATACATAAAATTCATATTTACGTATTAGATATTTATATCTTAAAATATTGTCGGCTGGCACCGACTTCGAAAATATCTGATTAGGTATCTATTCTAAATGAAAACCTCCGTTAAGCTATTTTTTACATTTTAGTGCCTGGAAGTCGGTTTTTTTTAATATAACGGTTTTACATAATAATAAAACCGATATTATGTGCCGAGAGGGAAAACATACAGCATTGTATATGAAGCAGTGTATACTTTGCCATTTATTTACGGTCTGTGGAATATATCAACTACTTTTCAACTACCCTATACTAAATTTTAAATTGACGGTAGTAGAAAATCCAGCTAGGACACGGCAAAACGTTGTCACTTTGAATATCATAGTCTTCACCAGGAAGGACTTCCTGCAATGCTGTATGTTTTCCCTCTCGGCACATAATATCGGTTTTATTATTATGTAAAACCGTTATATTGATGTGCCTCCGGAAAACATACAGCATTGTATATGAAGACGTGTTTGTTATCTGCTGGTGAAATATGTACATTGTAGGTATATAAACACAACGCTATGATGAATAGTAAAATGAGAATAATAAAAGTTTAATATGAAAGTAAATTATATATTATATATAATTATAATATTTATTTATTTATTGTTTGACAATATTAACTTGTATATAATTGTTACACCTTTTTTATTGCAAATCTCTTAATTATTTATTATTAACTAATTTAAATCATAAATTTATAATGACGTGAATGTATTGAAAAAGGAATTATGGTCATTTTTAGATACTTTAATTACTTTACAGTAATGATTAAAAAATGTAGTGGAAGATTTCCAGTTACTCCGTGCTAATATATCATCTAAGGGTTGATTATCTAACCACCCCAGTGAAGCTACAGCTGACCTACAACTCCCTGGGGAAGCATCAATGCCACTGTCTTTAAGAACTGTGCGCACCCAGTTGCCTATTACAGTACGGGAAGCAAATTTTACTTTATTACTAATTGTAATGAAGAGGTTGTCCAAGTCTTTAACATCCAACCTTCTATGTTTGGTTTTCTCTATTAAACATCTAACTAAACTAACTGGGCAGATGTTCTTATCAGGATGTTTAGACAGCTTCCAAGCAGATTGGCGGCAGTCATGTCTGTCAGTCTTTGAACCAAATGCCGGTATTAAATAGATGTTTTGTCCATTATCAAGATAGTTGTCTTTGGAAATTCGCAACAAGGTAAGATCGTGGACTCTACGTCCAGAAGCTAGCAATAACACTGTTGCTGTTCTACGCGATATTTCAAAGAGCGTATCTTTAGGTGAATTAGCTGAAAGCCATTCCAGAACTACATTTGGGTCCCAACTAACAAATGACCTAACTGATTTTGGTTTAGCTACCCCAATTGCCTTAAGGGCATGTTTTATAATGAAGTTTGTAAATGTTTGTTGTTCTACATAAGGCCCACAGAAAGTTAATACAGCCGACTTGTGTACCAAAATAGTGCTATAAGATAAGTTTTCGTTAAGGAAAAGATAGATTAAGAATTTAGCAATGTCAGCAGGATTAGGTGATTTGGGATTTACTTGAGTACTGTTACACCACTTCAACCATCTTTTAATGGCAGGTAGATATGTTGCTAGAGTAGACTTTCGCCAGCTATTTCTTAGCAGCTCCTTCTCTTGTGTAGACCACTCTTTTATTTGGGAACCCCACCCCCAATTTTCCAAACTTTCAAGGTTAATAGATCTACTTGTGGAGGTGGCTGTGACGTTGTCATGTCGATCATTGTTTTCGATAGATTCGGAATTTCGTGTGGGTGATCCAATGCTCTGGACTTTAGATCTTGAAGCCAGAAGACTTGAGGCCACTCCGGTGCCACTATTAAATAAGTCCCTGTCGCGTTGTTTAGGTGTGCCAAGACTCTGGGTAATAGGCTCGGTGGAGGGAATACCCATGCTAGTTGGTATTGCCAAGGTCTGCTGAAGGCGTCTATATAACTTGCTGATCGATCTCTGCAATCTATTGATACGTAGTTTTTTACTACAGCACTTCGTTGTGAAGCAAAGAGATCTATTTCCGGTCGACCCCATTTCCGGAAGACTTCTCCAGTTGCTTGTGGTAAGAGATGCCATTCCGCAACCTCTTTCCCTCGTGACAATCTGTCTGCAATTGTGTTGTACCTCCCTGGTAGATAATGTGCCGAAAGAGTTATCTTGAACTTGTCTGTTAGGGTCAGTAGTTTGTAAGTCAAACTTAGTAGTGTCAACGATTTCGTTCCGCCCTCTTTTCGAATATACGCAATTAAAGTTCGATTGTCCGATTGGATGAGTACATGGGATTTGCTTAACGCTGCAGCGTTTGTTCTGATCGCTGCCATTACTGCATAAAGCTCTTTTTTGTTGCTGTGCCATTTTTGTTGCTGACGAGACCACGTCCCCAACATTAGATGCCCATTTAGATGAGCACCCCAACCCAGATCCGAAGCGTCCGTCGCTAGGAAATGAGTAACCGGCTTTTTGTGTATTAGCGAAGAGTGACGTGTGGCGCCGAGCCACCACCTCATCTCTTGATATACCGTTTCGGGAATTAGTTGTCTCTGTCGTGGTTGCCTCTTGTTGAAATGCCGAAGAAAGATTTGTGCTTTCCGACAATGTAACCTGCCTCGGGGTATGACAAAGCTGGCGAAATTTAGCTGTCCCAGTAGGCTCTGTAGTTCGCGAAGCGTGATATGGCCTCTTAGTAACGAACGATCTATGTTTGCTTTGAGATTCTGTATCCTCTTTTCTGGTAATGACATTCTGTTCCTGGCGGTTTGCCAGCGGATACCAAGATATTCTAGGTCTTGAGTCGGAGTCAAGATCGATTTTTGGTAATTGAGGCTCCAGCCCAGATATTCCAAGTGCCTCACGGCCGCCGAGGCCTGAAGACATAACTTGGATTGGTCTTGGTTGACCAGAAGGTAGTCGTCTAGGTAGACTAGTACACGACATCCCTTGGCACGCAGGGTCTCCGCGACCCAGCATGTTATGGACGAAAAGAGATGTGGCGCTGATGCCAGGCCAAAAGGTAGACAGGTCATCTCGTACAGCTGACCTAGGTAACTGATTCGAAGGAATGGGCAGTGAGATTTTGCTGCAGCTACATGAAAGTATGCCTGAGAAATGTCTAATTTTATCATCCAGTCTCCCGGTTGGAGAAAATCTGGCACTGAACTGTGAGAAATAAGGCGAAAATGCTTTATCTTTACGAATTTGTTTAATTCTCGTAGATCGAAAATAGGTCGCATCGATCCGTCGCTTTTCTTCCGCAGAAATAGCTTGGAGATAAAACTGGGCGTTTCTTTTGTAACAGGCTGCAGTATTTTTTGATCCAAGAGGTCTTGCATTATTTGAGTCATGGCCGGCGACGGTTTGGTTGCAAACTGACTCATAACAAGCCTTGTTGGCATTATTAGAGGAGGTTTCTTGTAAAACGGTATTCGAAAACCAGTTATTGCCGATATTATAAATTTGTTCGCGCCAAGTGCCTGCCAACGGTTTTTGAACGTCTTTAGACGACCGCCCCTGAATGGTATTAGATAGTCATATTTTCTTGTTTTTGCTTCGAAAGGACGGGTTTCCTTGTTGTTTGTAAGCATCAGTCTTTCCTTTGTACGTTTTTTAGTGTTTGATTTTTTGTAGGTATTTTGAAAATAATTTTTATCTTGTCCTTGTGGCCTAGATTTGGATGTTGATGGTATGGATTCATGGTATTTCCTTTTTACTTGGTCCCTATTTTTAGAGATTTGTGGGGGTGATAACCAATAATGAGGCCCGCCGAGGGATTGCACCAGCGACATCAATTGTGCCTTCTCGAATAGAAATTCCTCGCTGGGAGGTATGTTAACGAGAGCGGCTTGAATACTTTTATCAGAAATTTCGCTAAGTAATCTTTTACGCCTAGTTTCTATACACTCCGCTCGTTTCCCGCAGACGATTTGTAATGTTTGTTCAGATAATTTATAAGATGGCGACGAATTACCGAACATTTCGCTTATTTTATTAAAAAGGTTATTAGAGGTTAGTTCCGTAGGATTATTGTGAGACCAATTAACAATTTCTTGTAAACCTGATTGTAGCAATTGCCTTTGGTATAGTAAAGCATTGGTAATTGCAGCCATAATTTCCTCCGTTGAGGCCAGGAAATCTTTGCCCTTATTTAAACAACATATTTCGTCATTAATTTTTAAGTTACAAAAGCCTGGGAACGCAAGCATGTCTGCCAATGCTTTTTTATACCGAATGTGTTGCCACGTAGATGAATTAAAATGTTGCAATTTTATCAACTGGTTTAAACGTTGTTCATCGGCTGGTTTAAGAACTTTTTTCTCATCAAAATCAGTTTTACAAAAACCTAAATCTAATGATTTTGGTGTAATAGAGCAAGGATTGGTCAAGAAATCATCATTATTCTGTTCAGGTTGTTCAATCACGTCAGTGGTTTTCGCGGTCACATTTGTATTTGATGATGACGCACATTGCTGATGCATAATTAAATTTGTAAGGAAACTGACCTGTTCGTATAACGCGTCGATCCGGAGATCGACCGTTACCTGAGCATCTCGTTTTGATTTCTTGCGCGGAGGTTCCTCTTCTTCAGGTTCGCTGCTTGACGAACTGCTGGAACCGGAAGAGTCCTCTCTCTCTTGCCTTTCCCTCTCGATCGTCGGTGAATTAGAAACGATAGGTCGGTTTGCCTCGATGGCTTCATCGACCTCGCTAGGCGCGCGATTCATTACGATACACTTCCGGTATAAGAACCCGCACAAACACAAAAATACAGATAGATATTGATGTAATATTAGTTATGCTAACACTTAGTAAAATTATTTCTCAAAATATTTAACGGATTATTCTAATATTTTTGGATTTCGACCGCACGCGGCGAAAGTACACAACGCTATGATATTCAAAGTGACAACGTTTTGCCGTGTCCTAGCTGGATTTTCTACTACCGTCAATTTAAAATTTAGTATAGGGTAGTTGAAAAGTAGTTGATATATTCCACAGACCGTAAATAAATGGCAAAGTATACACTGCTTCATATACAATGCTGTATGTTTTCCGGAGGCACATCAATAAACAGTTATTTATACTACACCCTTGTTCGCTTTCGCTCTATATAATGTACCCCACATTGCCTACAATTGGTCTTTCTTGTTTACCCTCCGATCATAATATTGTAATCTAATAAGGCATGTTTTAAGCAATTTTGGTGCAGCTTCAATAAACATAAAATGCAACATGATACTAGTTTAAGAGATGCAAATAAACTTATTTTTTACCCGACTGCGCGACGCAAAGGAGGGTAATGTGTTTATCAGTCTATGTATGTATGTATGTACATATGTATGTATGACACTCTAGAGACCAAACGCGTGGGCCGATTTCTATGATTCATATGTCGTTAGTTTCGTATTTACGCGAGTGTCATAAGCTATATATAGCCTATAATACTCGTGTTATAGTTAAAAATTAAAAATAGTTAAAAAGTAAAATGGCGGATATCAGGCGCCAATTGGTCTGTAAAAAAATTTTCCAAATCAATCGAATGGGCTCTTAAAATAAAGATTTTTGGTGATCACAAAAACAATTAAGAGAACACAACTTACATGTTTAAAGGTAATTTGGGATAAGAAATTGCTAAATATTAAGTCTTTACCTATGAAATTGTCGTTTAATATACAGAAAGTTAAAGTATTGTATTTTTATAAATATTTTTCATTTCTATTAATCAAAATATGCACCCATGCTATTGATGCAATTTGATGCAAATGGACCAATATTGTTTTGATGCTAACGTTGAAAGCTGCTGCTATCTCAGCCACAGATTGAGTATCGTCAGCTTCCACTATCGCCTTTAATGCGTCGTTACTGATTTTAGTTTTCGGGCGACCACGGGGTTAATTTTTTAAGATCAAAATTTCGATGTTGGAAGTGTTCAGACCAATAACGAGTTGTGCGTTCGTTTGTAGTGTTCACTCGGCACTCCGTACGCGTCATTAATGTTGCGAGCCGTTTGTGCGGGATTGCTACCGCGATCGAACTCGTATTTCATAATTACTCGTATTTTTATTGTGTTTATATTGATGAAAAACAAACAAATGTAGTGAAAAGAAAACACTAATTAATAAACAAACGACTGAATTCAAAAATAGAACTCCATACTTTTAAAATAAAATTCATTTGAATTTAGAATTTATTGCCGGCCAATCATAAATTACGTTTCCAATGGCCAGTAAGTATTGTAGAACGGCAATTTCAAAAGACCTATTATAACTTCAAATTTCTAATAAAATTAAAAAGCTGTAAATAAAAAAATACATTTCATCCTTGTCGCGAGATGTACATGTGTATGTCACCAACTGCATAATACTTCATTCCTTCGTCAACTTGTTTTTATCTTTTTAGTTAGCTGTTATGCAGTTAGGTTTTTTTATTTTTATAATGTTTTAAAGTAATGTGTAAGTTGAACTTATATCTGTAAAATAAAAATCGTACTGTTTTAAAAAATTCAATTTTTTTTTAGAAAAACAGTTAAAATATTTATAAAATATTAAATTTCAAATAATCCTAAAAAACATCAATGAAAATATTCTAATGAATATTAAAAAAGCCTTCCCCATACTATCCAACAGCCGTCAAAAATGGCGGCTCGAATTTGGGTTACGTGTTATTATATTATTAATTACTTAAAATCTAATAGAAAATTTACAAATTCAATTATACGTAGTTATTTAGTTATAAATTTAAATCATGTTAATAAAAATATTATGCTATCACTAGTGTATTTTTTATTCAGAAAAAGTGAAAATATAAGGACTAAGCGCGCGTGAATGCTTACGATGTTTGACAAATATAACAATTTCTGTATAAAATCTCTATTCAATACACATCCTATGAAATAAAAACTGTTAATTACTTACCCTTCCATCATATTCCAATCCTTATACTAATAATTTTACACTATTTTGTTAATTTTTTACTTACAAGTATTGAGTTCAAAGATCGCCAAAATTTAAATAAATTGTCTGCACAAATTACAATAATTTATGTTATTGGAGTTATTACTTTTTTGAAATGTAGTATGATATTATTGCTTGTATTTTTCTTTACACGTTACAAAAGTTAGATAAAAATAAATATAGTTTAAATGCGAGAAATCACACATTAAATGACATCGGGACCAATCGACCTTTAAAAGGTCGCTTGACAGACAGGGGTGTTTTTGACATCGACCTTTAAAAGGTCGATCGACAGACGAGGTATTAAACATCTTTATCTATTTATTTTTTATTCTGTCAAAGTTTAAAATACTTTTCCAAAAGAATTTTAAACTTTGACTTTGACTTTTTTAAATTTTCCAGATTTCTACTATTTTCAATATCATACAGTAAATTTATAAAAATAATTTTTAATACTTATATTAATTGTCAAACTGTAAACATTAGAAACAATGGTTTGAGCGACAATTGTGCAGGTTATGACTGATAGCTTATTTTAATCTTCTGTTTCAATTACATTTAAAACATGTTTTGGCCTTTTTTATCGTTTTAACCTCTAATTCGATCATTTTTTATGGGTAAAAAACCAAATTTTATTATTTTTTGCATTATTTAGGCATAACTAATATCATTTTTTACACTGCTTACATTACTATGTTTTTCTTATTTAACACTAGGGCGCTCCACTTTCGACAGAAGTGCTGCCCTCTATAGTGCGTGCACTCCCTTGGGATATTTTGTTACCAATATTTTTATTATATTTTAAGGGGTATTTTCGCTTTGACGGTTTAAATTAATTTTGAACAGAAATAGGTAATAAGATGAAATGAAATTTATTTATTACGTCAGTAAAATATATACCTATTGTAAAAGTAAATATTTTATTTATATGACATTTATACATGCATACCTACTCTGCCCTCCCGAACCTAAAGTGCAGTAACAGCAAAAACACGAATTCGAGAAAAACGCGCCTAAAGTTTAGAATCCATAAAAATATATCAAAAAGAGACTTTTCGATAAAACCTTGAATGGAAAGTGAAAGAATATGTACCAAAATAAAATACTAAACATTGTTACGTTAGTTTTTTTATAAAAAACTATAATTATGGCAATTTTAATTTTTTAGCCCCTATTACTACACACACTTTATTTGTATAATGTTTTCAAAAACTGTTTTAAATGCAGTAAATCCTGTTATTACTGCATTTTAGACATTTCTTCCATGATTGTTACTAACTAAAGTGCAGTAATATTATGAAAATACTGCTATTTAATCTGTTTTTTTGAACAAAACACTGATATTCCACACTTATAGTAATATAAAATTACCTTTAATTTTGATAAAAATATGTAATTTCTTAAACAGTCCAGTTTGGACATGCATTTATGACTATGCTATTAAAACTATTCATCAAAACATTGTACATTATAATCTAATAGTGTAAATTGTTTTATATGACTAACAATATAACAATCTTTACAAGATGTTGATAATCTTAACTAGTTAATCCACCATAAAACTATATCACATGTATTTCTCATGCATGGATCAATAAAATTTACATAAAATCTTTCTTCTGAACATAACTAATTACTAAATGAATATTCTTGTCTTACAAAAATAATAGTCTGAAAAGATTATGGAAGAGAGAACCAAGAAGAATTAACTTATATGGGAAACAAGTTGAAAAAGTGTCCAGTAGTGAGCAGCAAATTATAGCTCAGAAACTCACCGTTACAGCACTAGCGTAGCAAGTAGATGTGATGTGAAGTTAGTAGTTTTTAACGGAGTGAAGTGTGCTGAATTATTATTACTTGAAAATAATATATAATTATAGTGCTGTTTGCCTATGCTAGAACTATTTTGAAAAGTGCGCCACAGCAAAGCGGAATTCTTTCTTTCCTTGTTTAATTCACCTTCTTACTTTTATGACGCTATGTTTTAAACTAGCGACTCACCCTCGCCTCACTCGGGTTCGTCCCTGGATACTTTTTTATTTGAGCGGAACTCTAATTCTTTTTTAAAAATAAAAGTAGCCTATATTACTCCCTATAACATCAGTTACCTTCCACTGAAAGTCCGTCAAAATCAGTCCAGCCGTTTCAGAGATTATTCGGAACAAACAGACAGACAAAAAATTTTAAAAATTAGTTTTTCTTATAAGTACCTTATATAATTTCATATGCATTTAGTGAAAAGGTTTATTTTGACATTACAAACAGACACTACAATTTTATTTATCTGTATAGATGTATAGATTCATATACTTGTTTTCTGTGGCGCCACCAATTTAATGCTTGTCAGCGGTCACTTTTTATACGAGAAATAGTTCTCCTTAGTTCTACCCTCCATATCTCTTTGGTACAGACACAGCATGGCATGTCAAGTCAGCCTTAAGCCACAGATCCTTGAGACAGACAGACAGAAGGACTGCCTCAAACCGCGATATTGCCTGTCCTGTGTTTTAATATTTTAATAATTTTACCTATTAAAACGCAGTATTAGGGAATAGTATTTGACTTTAAGTATTTTAGGTAGTATGACTTGGATGGAGCAAACTAACTAATATGCAGTAAAATTTATAAATATTGTAAACTAAATGGTCTTTTACAAGCAACTACAAAACATCCTACAAGTTAAACTGCAGTAAAGTTATTAAATACTGCATGTCTTTTAGTTATTCACAAGAAATTACAAAATCCCCCACAAGTTAATGTGCAGTATGGAA